CTGTGCTGGAGCCAGCTGTGGTGTGCTTCTCCTTGTGATGCACTTCTCTGATGACTACTCTGCGTTGATCTGTGAGGGAGTTAGGGTGATAGGCAGGAGGGAAATCAGTGCCCTGGAGGGGACACATGTCTCTTCGGTCCTGGAGAAATGCAGCCTCTGTCTCTGTTGTGTGCCATGGGCTTCAGGGGAAAAATAAGGGAATTGTCCTCCTGTGAAAGTGCAACCAGTGTTTCTGGGGAGGTTGAAGCTCAAGGTGGGCTGCTACTCCCAACAGCAAAGGTGTTTTGAGGTGGGGCTGTAGCAGAGCTGCATGGCAGCTGTTCAAAAGTAGTTACTGAGGCAGGGAGCTGGACAGGTCACTCTTGTGGGCTCATGTTGTAAGCCCTGAGTGTCTGGGTGTTCTGCTGGCTGGTGGCTCTGGAGTGTAAGAGTTCCCTAGTCCAAGGTACTGCTTGCTGCCTCAGCTGAGAGGTGTTGGATTTTGTTTGCAGTACAAGCTGTGCAAGGTGAGGAAGATCTTTGTGGGCACCAAAGGAATCCCTCACTTGGTCACTCATGATGCCCGCACTATCCGCTATCCAGACCCCCTCATCAAGGTGAATGATACGGTCCAGATTGACTTGGAGACAGGCAAGATCACAGACTTCATTAAGTTTGACACAGGTAGGTCTTGCATCCCATTAAAGCACTGTACCCTTCCCCGCTGTGGAGAGCAGTCTGGAAGTTAGGTGCTAGGCATATTTGCACTGAAATAGAGAGTCAGTGGTGTCAGTCTTGGGAAGGGGTTTGTTTCCCAGGAGCATGTCCACCTGGAGCTGGAGCAGGGATTCTTCCTGCAGTGGGAAGCATTTGGCAGGGACTTGGTAGTTCTGGGGCACCAGGTAGAAGCAGCGAGCTGGTGGGGAGGTGCTTCAGCTTGTCTCTTGGTGGTGAGAGACAGTCTCAGTCAGAGCTGTGAGCAGTGCTAGCGTGGGTGGAGTGGGAATGTTTGGTATGGGCAGAGAGCCCAAGTGGAAGGACTTCACAGCACATGGTGCCAGCTCTTGTCACACCTGTATTCCTTTACTCAGGTAACCTGTGCATGGTGACCGGCGGCGCAAACCTGGGCCGTATTGGGGTGATCACCAACCGGGAGAGGCACCCTGGGTCGTTTGATGTGGTTCATGTGAAGGATGCCAACGGCAACAGCTTTGCCACCAGGCTGTCCAACATCTTCGTTATTGGCAAAGTAAGGCCATGGGGGCACCAAGTGGGGGTGGTTCCCTTCTTTTGTGAGGGGCTCTCTTCTTCTGAGGGGCTGCTGGCTGAGGCAAAGAGCCTTGGTGTTTCCTTGGGCAGGTGTCTTCCCACACAGTGGAGCTTCAGTGCTGGTCTCAGTTCTGGCTTGGATCCCTGTATTTTTCCTGCTCTGGGAAAGATGAGAAGCATTTGCAACTTCAGCAATGACTGTTTTCAAGAAGCAGCCCTTTAATCCTGAGAGCTGGGGGCTAAGCAGTGCTAAGACTTGGTGTGATCTGAGTAGCTGCTGTGACTCCTGAGTGCCCCCCAGAAAGTCTCTGCTGCTTTGCCATTCTAGGTTATGGAGGGGTGGTGTTTTGGTTTTGGCTGAAGTGCATTCTTCACGGATGTGACTGAAAGGCAGCTGTAGACCTGTGCATCCTTGGCACCTTCCTTAGGGTCCTCTGCTGCACCAGTGCCATCACCATGTGTACCTGACCCAGCATGAGCAGGGGTGGACTTCTGCTGTTTTCCCCCTTAGAGAGAGTTGTGTTGCTATCTGGGTTTCCTGATGTGAAGTGGTTTCTTCTCCCCTGCTGCAGGGCAACAAGCCATGGATCTCCTTGCCCCGTGGAAAGGGCATCCGCCTCACCATTGCTGAAGAGAGAGACAAGAGACTGGCGGCCAAACAGAGCAGCGGATAAAGTCCAGCTCAGGCTGGCTCTGGTGCTGTCAGTGTGTTAATTAAACTGTTTACTACATGGCTCTGACTGCTGGGGAGTGTCCTGGGGCTGGGGTGGGGAGCCATTGCCATTGCCAGGTCCTGCCCCCCAGAAAGTCCTGCTTCTCTGGGGCGACTCCTGTCAGTCTGAATAACTACCACAGCCTTATTCCGGAAAGGCAAGGAGGAAGGGTGGGAGAGCCTTCAGACTGCTCTGTCTGCAAAGGTGTTGGCACAAACACTTCCTGGAGGAGCAGGGATATGGGGAGAGCTACCTGGGCTCTCCTGTAGCCAGTGGTGCCAGATGAGTTTGAGGGGCTACCCCGGCCTTGTTGGCTTCAAGGGTGTTGGCACTAAATGTCCAAGTGGGGCTGCTCCTCCATGTATTTTCTGTGGAGGTGGAGGGTGGAAGTGATCACACCGACAGACTGGACTAAGTGGGAGGTGAATGGGCTGCTGGGGACACTGAGCACCAGTCTGGTCTGCAGAAGCCAAGGAGCTGGGGACTGGCTGTGGTTTTGGGAATGGCCCTGGAGGACAAGGTGGGCTGGTGTGGGCAGGGTGCCCAGTCAGGAAGGGCAGCTGCACAACTGGGCTGTTCTAGGAAGGGTGCAGGAGGCATTGTAGGGAAGGGGAGGCTGTGCCTGGCATGGTGTGCAGACTGGGGCCACCAGGTCCAGGCAGGTATATTGGCACTGGAGCAATGCCAGTGGAGAAGCTGGAGTGATGGAGGCATAGAAGAGGCTGAGGGCACAACCTCTGCTCTGCTCATCCTGGGGAAGAGGAGTCCTGGGGCCTCTCACTGCCTGCCTTGTGAGCACCTGTCTTCCAAGATGGATGAAGCACAGATGTGCACAAGTGCAAAATTTGCATCTTTTATTGGCTTCATCAAGTGTCCATGGTGAAATGTAACTGAGCCTCATGAAGTGGCTGCAGCCTGCTGTATTCTGACCTTATGCTCTCAGGAAAGCTGAATGCTCGAGGCACTGCCCATGTTCCCTCTAGTGTTGCTGTGCTGCTCCCTCTGGATGCTGTGCAGGCTCAGAGCAGCAGCATCTCCAGGGTCGTTCATGGTGCTGGCAGTGGGCTTGGTGTTGGGCTGTCCTGTGATGCACAGATGTGAGCAGCCAGAAAATCCCACATTTTCATGCACAGAGCCAAAAGCAAAAACCACTTAGTTTTTACGTTGTGAAAAAGCTTTAGCAAATAGCCAAATTGAATATTTGGGAAAGTAAAACTCTGTTGTTACACTAGCAAGAACTCCAAAATGGCAATGAAACCAACACTTGGGAAAATTTGGGGTGAAATGTGTGCAGTTTGGGGGTGGGCATTGCAATGGATTATCCAGTGTGGGCTGATTAGGTTGCTTCGTGTGGGTTATCCCAAATGCACTGTCGCGGGTGGATCTGGTGTATGTAATCTCTGTGTTTCTCGTGCATCTCCCCGCCTCCCTCCGTGTCCTTTTCCCGCTCCTCGGCTGTGATCCCCCGCTCGGTGTCCCCCCTGCAAGGGGCCCCGCGGGGCTCCCCGGGCCGGGGTCCCGCCGAGCCGCCACCGTCCGGTCAGTAGCTGCTCCTGCAGCCAAGAGAGCCGCGAACGCGCGTTGACCGAAAAAGGAGCTTTCTGCCTGCTGCCGCCCCTGGCCAAACCGCCGAGCTGCACGGGAACAGCTAAACTCGCGTGTGCGGGACCGCGGTGGGAGCCGCCTCCCGCTAAGGACACTGCGCTGCCGTCCCACGGACACGATGTCGGCGGCGCTCGGAGTGCAAAGCGCGGAACTGCGGAGCCGGTACCGTCGGAGCGCTGCTGCCCAACGTCCGAGTGCCTGGCGCCCGCGCGGGTACTTGAGTGCGGCGTGGCAGAGCACTGGGCGTGGGGCCGGGCGGTGGCAGCGGCAGATGAGGGATGAGGTCGCGGCAGCGGTGAGATGACAGAAAGCCTCAGCGAGTGCGGAAGAGCCGCCTCGAGGCCGCCCGGGATGGCGAGGAAGAAGCTGCAGCCCACCCGCCACAGCTCCTGGCCCGAGCGGAGGTGCCACATCCCGAGGCCAGAGCTGGGCGTCGCTCTGTGTGGCCAGAGCTCCCCTGAGCCCTGTTCGCCTTGTGCCGCTGCTCCTGCTCCAGCATCGCCCCTGAAACCTGCCCTGTGTCCATTAGCCGCCCCAAGCGGCAGGTGGACCGTCGAGGTGTCCCCCAGAAGCCCCTGCAGAAGGAGGGATTCATGCAAGGTATCTACAGTAATAATAGTTGCTGCTGCTTCTTTCCCTCTGCCAGAGGCCACAACTGAGTGTCAAAGTGTCCATTCTTCCCAGAAGCATCCCCAGGCGATGATGCCAGTGACTGCACACGCCTGGGGCTTGTGAGGGCCGTTAGTGTTATAGATACATATTATAATATTAGCTTTTCGCAAATATTTGAATGGATTCCATACGTGTGATGTTAAAGTAACTTTGTAATAAAGATACTGGTTTTGTTTGTGTTGTTAATTAATGTTATAAGTAAAAATGAAATATGCCCAATTTCAATTAAAAAAAAAAAGAATTTATTTTGCGACCGTAATATAGTCCCGACAGCCAACAATCAAATGGATGGCGTAACACCCCCGGGAAGTAAGCTGGGTGAACGTGGATATAGCCTCTATAGCACCAAATCCTCCTTGTCCACCCTGGCTGCTCCGAGGCAGCGGTTCTTATACTCTTTAATTTGCCCGTGGCAGAGTCCCTTTGTTTCTTCTTAGAGTTCTTCATATTCAAGTTGGGTCCTTTCTTCGGTCCGGGCTGCACAAAGCCTTCATTGATTAATGTGCTTCCCCGATTCCTGGAATCTGGCATTCAGACCAGCAGGTGTTGATGGTTCTGGTTATCTCAGATAGGTATCTTGTGGGGGGGGGGCATCATCTCTTGGGTGTCACTGGACACATGCCTCCATGAATGCCCATCTCCTGTGCAGCCAGGTTTCCTTTGCATGCAAATGTTGTGGTGCTTCCTTGTCCATCTGCCGAGGTTTCGCCATCCTGGGGAAGAAATTCTCCCCCCCCCCCCCCCCCCCCGAATATGTAACAGGCTGATGTAATAGACATGGGATATAAAGGGTGTTTCCAAACTAGCAGGCGTAGTCTTGGCTGAGTGCCAAGATGCACCCAGCCATAATAAGCTTTGCTCTATGGTCCTTGTCTCCTATGGCCCTTTATTAAACTTTAAATTTTCACAGGAGAGTGAACGTGTTTTTCACATTAGTGTCACTGAAACTGCAGGAAAAACAAAAACAACTCTCCTAAGTTTTTAGTGTTAGAGAATCAAGGCATCACTTTATTCTGGCCGGGATGTTGTTCTGGCCAGGATGTGCAAAAGAAATAATTTCATCCACACATTGCCCGGATTGTGCAGAGAAAATAATTCCATGACTCAGCTCTTTACTCGATTTTTCATGTATTTTATACAGTCAAAACCTATAGAAATTAATTGGTTCAATCTTCATAATTCCCATGTTGCGCAGTTCTTAATACTTGGTTTCCTATTGGATATGGATTTCTTCACCTTTGATGCTAATTAGGTTTTCATTCTTATCTCTGTTTTCCCAGACCGGGTGTCTCTCACTTCCTTTTGTGTATCTTCTGGGCTACTTCCAGTCCCTTGAGTTGTTAAGCTCATCAGACCTCACCTGGTGAACCATTCCTCTGAAAAGAAACTTCAATTCTCTTCTCCCTGGACAAAGGTGAGCTAAACTGACTAAAGTTACATTAAAATTAAAACATTTTACATAAAAGATTGAAACTGTATATAATTTCCAATGGTAGTACTGGCTTTACTCCCTCCAGGGCATAGGTTGAAGAGGGACAGGATGAGTACTTACTGGCTCAGAGAGGTGCTGCTGTGGCAGAGACTGAAGAGGCCATAAAAAAGGCAAGGAAATAAAAATTGGAAGCCATCCGGCGCATCTCTCTGCAGGCAAGTGAAAGCCTGCCTCTCTGGGTGAGAAGGGGAAAGATGCATCCAAACTGGTAAATTTTCCTGGCAGTGCCAAGAATCATCCAAGAATCACAGCTGAGGTGAGTCCAAGGTCCTTGGGTCCTGTCTCTCCTCTTGTGTGTCTCAAGGCCTCTTTGCTTCTCTCCTGACCCCCTTTTTTTCACATGTTGCTGTGACTACTTTATTTTGCTTCGTATATCTCTCCTTTTGTCTCTATTTTGTCTTGCTTCCTCTTCCTACGTGTGAGAAGCAGCTACTCACTTTTCATAGTTTAAAAGGTTTATTATACCTTATCAAAAATACAACAGAAGACTGAATAGAGAAGAAAAGGTTACGGTGCTGGGAGCAAAAGATTTTGCCTGCCGTGTGCTCTCTTTCCCACACAATGGAGGTTCCCCTTTTTAACCCTTTAACCCCTCCCAAAGTTTTGTCCATCAACCCCTTCTTTGCTGTCCAGTGGCATAGATTTCTTCCTCAAATCCTGATTGGAGGTCAGATATCACCCTCGTGACAAGCCAGCCCTCCCAGATGTCCCAGCTACCCCTTGATAACAATGCAAGGGGGTAAAACATAAATATAAATCTATAAAACTTTTCTTAACATATAGACATGATATTTGTCTATTAATTGTAAGAGTCAACCATCGCATTACTCATCTATCACACTACCACACTCCCTTTCCTTTTTCTGTGTTCTTCTGTGCAACACGAGTTCTGTCTCTTTTTTTCATCCTGTCTCTCTTCTGCAGCTTACAGCTGTTTTTTCCTTCTCCATCGATTTGTTCTGAGTTGAATCTGCCTCTTTTCTCCTCACAATTTATCTGGCCTGTTCTTTGGCATTTTTTTCCTCTCTGTACCTCTGTCTACTGCAGTGTGTTCCTGCATTCCTATCTGTTTCCCTACTTCCTTTTCTTTCTCTCTCTATCCTTTTGTTTTGCTAAATGTTGCTGTTTGTTTCAGTTGTGGATCTCACTTTGTGTTATAAATGACTAATATGATGGTTAGTTCTCACAATTAAGAGATGAATATTATGTGTATGTAAAGAGAAGTTTTATAGATGTGCAGTTATGTTATTTTTATATGTTCTCCCCATAAGTCTTCTTTCCCTTCACCCTTGTGTTGTAGTTTTCAGAACCCAAGACATCCCTCTGGATGCCCCGGATGGCTCAAAATCCTGGCAGGGGCTTGGAGACCCTGGCAGGAAGCCAGACACTTAGGAATTTGATCTCAACCCATGGAGAAAATTACCAACTTAATATGAAGAATTACAAGTCACAAAAGTTTAAGTAGCATAACAGTAGTTGTCACAAAGTGAAAAGGTGGAATATTGAAGAATTTTACTATGGGGGTCTAGGGAGCAAGATGGAGGGATCTGGATGTTGTCCTGATCTCCACCCTTCTTCTTCCTAGCCTCCATCTTCTTGGTCATGGTGGTACTTTGGGATTGGTTTAGAGCAGAAAGTCACTGTCGTGTTAGACAGGTGAGAGGTATTGGAACATAACTGTAAATATTGAATACGTCGTTTATACTATAAAAGACAACACTAGCCCTGTGGGAGTGCAGAGTGTGCCTCAGACTGACCTGCAGAACAGATCTCGGCAGGCCAGACAGAAAATGTTTTAGATAAGAAATAATAAACAACCTTGAGAATGACAGCTGAAGACTTCCGACTCCTTCTTCGACAGCTGGGTTGGGGAAAAGAGGCTTTTTAACACACCTTGGGGTTACCTTGACCAGAGGAGATGCCAAGAGTAGTCACTGGTTGGGGCATTTAAGGAGGGCAGGCTTGTTACTAGGAGGTGCAACCTGGCAACACCTAACCCCTAATCAAGTTGTTAGAAAGGGCTCTCCACCAATGGACAGCAGAGAAGGAATTGACTGAAAAGACTTTGGGAGGGGCCGAGAATATAAAAAGCAGAGCATCCATTTTCTAGACAAGCACATGGTCATGGAGACTGCTGGTTATGGAGACTTCCAGCGCTGTAATTTTTTCTTATTCAGTCCTTTGTTGTATTTTTGTTAAAGTTTAATAAATCTTTGAAATTTTAAAAGTGAGCATCATTTCTCACACTTTCCCTTTCCACTTTTCTGTTCATTTATTAGTTTTGATCCTTTTGCTGTTTCCCAACCCTGATATTTATTACTACACCCGTCTGGCCCTGTTTTTTCTTGTGCTTCATATTTGTTATTCTCTGTTGCTCTCACTGTCTCTGTTCCAGCATCCTTCTCCCTTTCACAGTATCCCACTTTCTCACTCCTTGGTTTCTGTATTGGTCTGTTCTTCCTCCTGTTTTTTCTTCTTGCTCTGGCCTGCTGCCTGTTGCTGTCTTCTGTCTTCTTTTTTTCCCCCCCTGCATTGCTCGCTTCAGTCCTGTCATTCTTCTACTCTGTCTCAATGTTTATAAACATAGAGACAGATGGGTTTGTGAGAAACGAGGCTCACTTTTAAACTTGAAAGATTTTAAAGATTAAACCCTAACAAAATAAAACAAAGGACTGAATAAGGAAAAATGACAGCGCTGGGAGCATAGGACTAAACCGCCATGTCATTGCCCACAAAATGGCTGCTCTGTCTTTTATATGCTTGGTGTTGCATCAGCCAACCCTGGCCCCTCCTAAAAGTCTGCTAGTCAAATCTTCTTTACCATCCATTGGTGGAGACTTCTTCCTTGCAACTTGATTGGAGGTCAGGTTTTGACATGCCGCACCTCCTAGTAGAAGTCTGCCCTCCCTCTACATATTCCAAGGCTGTCTCTTGGCAACCACGCGGGGTGGGGGACGGGGACTATGGAGAGAAGGAAGGACATGCAAACAACAAATCTCAATAAAATAACTATACATCAATAAAACTTCTCTTAACATACACATAATATTAATTCCTTAATTGCAAGAGCCAGCCATTGCATTACCCATCTATAACAAGTTTATGCAGAAGTGATTTTACAATGGTTGCAGAGTATTTTGAAGTTTATTTCCTTAGTGACTGGTAAGGAATGGACCTGAGCCATGAGTTGAAATGTGCTTACTGTCTGTATTCTCTGATGAGGGAATGCTCTAAGGAACTTGTCTGCTGGTAAAGATTAGGATTTGTTGGTCTGCGCCTTCATTTGAAAATGTCTCTTGTGCCTTGAGATGCAGAATACAGAAGTATTACCCTTCCAAAGCTATCTGAAGATAATGAAGACTGTTGCATAAAATTTTTACTGGCATTTTGTTTTCTTTTGAGGGAAATCTGATACTCGTTTATGGATATTATTTATTATAATGGTGGATAATGAGATGATTGGCTCTCACAATTAAGGAATGAATATTGTGTGAATATTAAGAGAAGCTTTATTGATGTATAGTTATGTTACTGTAGTTTAAATGCCCTCTGTTCTCCCCATAGTTCCCTTTTCCTCCTCTCTGTGTTGTTGCCATCAGACAGCCTGGGTTGCCTAGGACAGGTAAAAAGGAGGCATACACACGTGCCCCTTCCATGGGGCAGCTTGGAATGAAAAACCTTGTTGCTAGTGGAGTGCGGCATGGCAACACCTGACCCTCCAGTCAAGTTACAAGAAAGCAGTCTCCACCAATAAACGACAAAGAAGAGTTGACTGACAGACTTTAGGAGAGGCCAGGGTTGGCTGATGCAACCGCCACCCCCATAAAAGACTGAGCATCCATCTTGAAGATGGACCGGTGACATGGTAGGCAGCCATGGGGGCTGTTGCCAGCACTGTAATTTTTCATTATTTAGTGCTTTTGTTGAATTTTTGTTAAAGTTTAATAAACCTTTTAAAATTTTGAAAGTCAGCAGTTGTCTCTCACACTATTGCAGTAACAGTGGTCTGTGTGAAAATAATCACAGTATTGTGAAGTGCCTTGTACTGCTTTCCCCCCGCTTTTCTGCAGGGGAATAAACTTATACTTCAGTAGCAGTGTAACTGATTCCATGAAAAGTTCCTGACTTTGGGAATGCTGGTAAAGTTAAAAGGTTCAACCTCTTCCCTGTGGAGCTCATAGAATGAACAGCCTTACTTCTCTGTCAGGTTAAAGTGTTGGTTATTTTAAGTATCAATAATTGCATTAATCTCCAACACACATACCCACGTATTGAGTTGATGCTGTGCGTTTCATGTGCTCAATTCAGATTTATTCCCTGAGGCTACTGATGAGTCAAGGCTTTTTTACTTTGATCCACAGAGGTGAAATATTCTGTCTGACAAGCTCTTGGGCTTTGGTAGCACTCGGCAATGCAGCTCGTTCCACAAATCATTGCTCTGATTTTTCACCCTGGCACAACTCAAGCCCAGTCTGCCAGAAACAGCTCCTGTAGAGTTGCTATTCTGCTTCCTGTGTCCCTTTGTGCCTGAGACTTCCTGCTGGCTCTGTGGTCAGAGCAGTTCTCAGCCCAGCCCGGGCCTGTCAAGCAGGGCAATGCAGAAGTGCAGGTGGGCCTCCTTTTGTCTCAGCTGATGCCCTTCAGCAGTGTTTGCAGGTTAATGGGAGCTGGGAGACGCCTGCTGCTTCATGCCCAGTGTCTGGGAGGGGCTCAGTGTGCCATCACTACAGAGAGCCAAAGATGCTCAGGAACACTGGCTGATGTTCACAATAGCATATGACTGGTAGTGTTAGTGATTGATCTGGTACTTCTACAAGAAAAAAGTATGAAAAACATGTTCACTCTCCTGTGAAAATTTAAAGAGTTTAATAAAAGGCAATAGGAGACAAAGACAGTAAAGCAAAGATTATGGCCAGGTGCATCTTGGCACTCAGCCAAAAGCACACCGTCACCTTTGGGGATGCCCCTTAAATACCTTTTCCATTACATCAACCTTGTGAAATATACCAGTCACTTGTTTTAAAATTTTAAATGTTTAATAGTAATAAAATGGTTATAAAAATAGTAATACAAATTAGAGCAATAAGAATTTGGACAGTCAGAGTTAGGACAATAAAGGACAATAAAAGCAAAAAATACGAACATTCAGATGCTTTCCTAAAAAAGCATGGCTCGCTACAAAGGATTAACTCTTAAAACCAATAGCCTCTTGCATATTCATACATCTCATACATGATTCAAAAACTCTTTTCAAACAAAGGGTGTTTTCTAGTTATGGTTCAACTTCCCCCCTTTCATCTTGTACATCATGGTCAGACTCCATGAAGTCTGCAAGTAGACTAGTTCTTCATGATAAGAAGACAATAATTCTGTCTCTTTTGGATTTTAGTGTCTTGTTGCTGTTATCTCTGTGCGAAGAACTTCTTGATTATCTCATCTCTTTCTTGAGCTAGTTAAAAAGTATCTTACATAGCATAGTTTCTATTTTAACATTATGTTATAAACTAAAACTATATTTAACACACTACTTAAGAAAATTAATACAGCATAACTTTCTAACATAACACATATAATATTAATTTTAATATTTGCGAAGACCCAATAATAAAATATGCATTTTCCACAACCTGTTACATATTCATATACCCTCATGCATATCCATAAACTAGTTTACATTTCCAGGAACTATTTTACATGGTTCCCCCTTGGGTCTGCCTTTTTAACGTATGTGTGTTTCTTGGCTGTAGTTTTGGCTCCCCGTTATCACCTCCAATTTGGGCCTTTGTCCATACTTTCTTCAGACTGCAGATGCTGATAGTTGGCATATCAATAGCAGGGTCCTCATTACATGTTCACTGGATAAGTTTTTGTTCATAGCAGAAATAAAAGCAAAATTATTTTAGCATTATACATATAACATTCATCCTAGTATTTGCGAGAAGCCCACAACATAATATGTATTTATAATAAAAGCTTGGATCAGGAATTCTCACTGTGCTGTGACCTCTGCTCCCCTGCCCAGGGGCTACTCCTGTGACTTTGGGTGCACTCTTTTCCCCACCTTTCTGCCTGTGACCAGCTGCCTTTGGAAGCTTATCAGGAGCAAAAGTTCATTTGCCCAGCTGTGACTGGACAACTCTAGCAGTTTACTGCAGAGATTAGGTCAGTCTGTTGTTCTGATGCTTCATGGTTTAAAATCACTTCTGCTGTTCAAGCCAATGCTATGAATAAAGTGGACTTTCGTAGGCAGGGTTATGAATTGTTAATTATGTAATTTTATTCTGAATTGTTAATGAATGTAATATATTGTAATACCTAATTTATGTAATAAATTATGAAGTAATAAGTTATAAAGTTAAATGTGCTGTAGTATAAATGGGTGCCCACTAGAGGGGGGTGGTGAGATCTGAGTGGGGAATTTTCTAGAAAGAGATGATAACATTAATATGAACTGTGATTGGAAAACTAGCCAGCCAATGAAGCCTCAGAATTCTAGAATGATTGGCCAGGAATGCACCATCTTATGGACCAACCACCAACCAGGAAAAGGACCAATCAACAAGTGGCTTGAAATCGCAGTACCTGGTGTCTTTCTGCGAAATCAGCTCCTGTCCAAGGAAACTCCCTGTCTTGCACACAGTTTGTTAGTTTGTATCTCTGACTTGCCGTGTAGACCCCAGGCTTACCCTGAGGTCTTGTCTTCAGTTGTCTTGATTTTTAATAAACAGGTCCAAGCCTTTTAAAAGATCTTGGCCTCATTTCACCTGTTTATATCAGCCACCATTGAAACACAGTGCAGAAATAGGTTTTCCATATGGCTGGCATGGACTTCTATCTGATAAAACCTTCTCTCTTTGCTCCTGAGCTGAGCACTAGCTCTGTTTGCAGCCTCTTCTACAGTAAGAAGAGGTATTGCAATGGTAATAGCAGGAGTGGATGGTGTGAATTCTAGTCTGGGAGGGTGGATTATTTTTCACAGTTGGTCAGTTTGTTTTGCATCAGTCAGCCCTGCTAGAACTTAAGATTCAATGGCAAAAATAGAAAAGAAAACCTTCATGTTTGTATTTACCATCATTACTACACACCGAACAATTAAGTACGGTGTCACAGATGTTGGGGGTGGTGTCACAAACAGACACAACACCTGCTCTCCTGCATTCCAGTGTTGCCAGGAGCCAGGCCTGGCCCCTCACACCGAGACCTGGAGTGCAGCTTCCCTGAAGCTGGCACACTCTTTTCACACTCGCAGGGATCCCACAGGCTCTATGTCATCGCTGGGGCGGTCCGAGGCAGCGGAGCAGACTCTGCTCGTGGGGAACTTGGAGAGCCGGGTCAGGGAGGAGATCCTCTATGAGCTCTTCCTGCAGGTAGCAGATGGGTACCCTTATGTGTTGAAATGCTGTCCTAATGCTCCAGAAGAAAAATTCGACCAAGGGGATGTTCAGTTAGGAAAGCTGGACAACATGCTCTCCAGAGGTCCCTTCAAATCCCAACCTTTCACTGACAGTGTAGAAACACAAAGGAGTTCAACCTGTTTGAAGCCCGAGTTTAATTCCTGCCTGTTTTCAAGATTAAACAGTAGTCTGCTGTATAATTGTAAACTGTAAATGTGAGCTTAAGAAGTTTATCTTATTAGACTGCATGAGTAATACAAGACAAATGTAAAAGTGATAAAGATGGTCTTAGAACACAGTTTTGCATTATTCTTCTGCATAATCTGCAGCAGCCATCCAACTGCCAGCTTTTATCTGCGTCTTTAGGTCATCCCAGTAACTTGTCTTTTTCCCTTGTTTTACCTTGTTTTCATTCCCTTTTGCTGCAACAGCCTATGTTTCTCATTGTAGTCTTGCCCTGTCATTGAAAATATCAAGTTCCATATTCCTGCTATGGCATAGTCCTGAACACGCATGCCTGATCTCTAGATCTTCCCCTCCATCAAATGATGAGCAAGTATCTACTGCTACTTCTAAACTATTAATACTTGTATTTAGGAACTGGAAGGTAACTTTTGCTATGGAGTCAGTAAATTATTCTTCCCCTTTGGGAAACTAATTATTATGGTGTGGTATTCTAAAAATAATAAAAATTCTGGTTATGAAAGATTAAACATGAATGATGCTTGGTTCCCTTTAAACATTTCTAGAGCTGATTTTTGTTTGTAGAAGCCTCAGAATTTGAGCTTTGGGAATGTGGAGAGACATTTTCAAAGTAAGGAACTTATGGTTTCTGACTGTGGCTGAAGAGAAATTATTAAATATTCAAAAGACAATGAAGTGTCAGTTTCTGCTAAATAATAGAAATTTCTTTCAGGCTGGACCATTAACCAAAGTGATGATTTGTGAGGACAAAGAAGGAAAACCTAAGTCTTTTGGATATGTCTGCTTTAAACACAGAGTATCAGTGCCTTATGCAAAAGCTCTGCTGGATGGAATCTGTTTGTATGGTAGACCAATTACTGTGCAGTACTGGAGAGGTATGATTTGTAGTCCTAATGGTAAAGTTTAAGTGTAAATGTTTAATTTTTTTTAATAACAGTTTTGAATCCTGAAGCGTTTTACAAAGATAACAGTTTATAGTTGGAAAATTAATTTTTTTGTTCAGAAACAAAGACTTCCTGTGGCTTTTGTATAGGGAAGGATTCAGTCTTTGTATATTTTTGTTTGCTAAGAAAATACAATATATTGGTTCAGAACATCATAACTTGCACGCTGTGTCAGACACTGCTGTATGGAAAACAGCAATACAGGTTTTCATGCCAGATTACATTTAGGAATTGGGGTGTAACTTTGCCTTGCAGTATGACAGAAAAAATTGATTCAGTATGGCCAGCCACTGTTGAGCTCTTGGATAATTTGTAGACTAAAGCCACAAAGTTATCAGTGCTTTTGTTTTCAAGGGAAGAGGTTGTAGTTCAAAGAATATATTATATTCTTAATTTTATGTATGTAAAATAGGTGTATAAACTATGTATAGAATATATATAAAGTATGTATATAAAATATGTACATATATGTATATATTATATGTATACAAACCTTCGAGCAAGCCAGCCATCAGGCATCATTTGCAACCCAGACATTAAGGACTCATGTTCCTTCTGAGCCACTGCTCCCTTCAAAGGCTCTACAGAGCAGTTGCTGGGTTGAAGCAGAATATCTGTGGTTCTTAAAATCAGAAGCATCTCCTGTTTCTGTAACTGGGTGATGATGTTGTTCTTGTGTACTTCAACAACCCTGATTTGTGCTTCTGTAAGTGAAGAAATGAGAAGTGAACATTTTCAAGCTGTAAGATGCTATTGATTATCTGCCATAAAATGGCACCATACTTTTGTATACTACTTTAGATCTGCTAGCAGACTACAGATGACACAAAATACTTTCTGTGGTTTTTATCTGGTTAATTGAATTGTCATAACTGAATAGTCATTATGCTCTTGTCTTATTTCCAGGGAGTTCTCCCTCACCAGAACTAGACAGTTGTACAGATGGTTTTGAACACCGTATTGACTTAGAGTCTCTTGCAGAAAGGTAACAAAGATCACCTGTGAATGAACTTTATGATCATAATTTTTAAAAAATCGTATAAAGAATGTGAGTTGATGTGGTAGAGCAATTTCGAGGTTTTTCATCAAAACAGCATCTTGTCATTGCATCCTTACTGAGGGAACAGGCTGCAGTTAATTTTAATGTTTGGTTGTTAAGTTTACCAGATGGTTAGTTAGATTCAATTTTCCATACTTTATTTGTTTCTGCAATATTCAGGACCATGAGAACATACTGAACCCTGGGTTTTGTACTAACAATGTTTTCAGTTGTTGGGGAACAAAATCTGACAAGTATTTTTTTAACCCCACCAAGTTTACACCTGCATTTTTTGTGTCTATCAGCACAAGCAGCTGTCATATACATATGAATGCACAGTTATAAACCTGTTATAATGGAAGTCTGAACACCCCAGATTCAGTATTTAAGCTGAACTCCCGTGGTGAAATCTAGTACCCTTTTGTGCATGTACATAAGAGGATTGCTCATTAATTAAGCATTTGGGTATATTTCATTTGTTTTATCTTTATTTTTCATGTAAGTCCTCTTGCTAGTATCTCAGTTGTCCTCTTGGATATTCATTCCCATTGCAGCCCAAAAGTTAAGTCTCAGTACTCTGATCAGCAATATGTGGTGAACATTCAGCCTTTGTACATTGGCTTGCTATTTCTTTAGGCATCAAGAGCTTTCTGGAAATTCTCCATTTCCTGTTACTCCTTTGTCAGTGAACAACAGTTTACTTCATGATCATCCTGGCTTTCAAGAGGTGGTGAGTTAGTGCTAGAAGTTAAAAAACTTGGGAGTGTTTTTATGAAGCTGAATACATTTTGCATTTCTGCAAAAACGAGCACTTGCTTTAGGTCTCAAAATGTGCTATAAGCACAGTATTAGGACACTTCAGGATCCTCGAATAACAGGAATCTACCAAACCAAACTATTTTCTTCTTGCAAGAATATCTTAAAGGTATATAGCTTAAGAAAGCTAAAAATGGTGAAGTCTATGAAACTCTCTCCTGCACTGTGTTTCAAATGGTAGGACAAGTTGACCTCATTGGACAACAACCATGCAAGCAACAGCTTCTTCGCATATAGCTAATAGGGAAACCTTAGTTTTTCTCAATTCAGAAATGCCCAGCAGAAGTTTAAAATGTGCTAAAACCTAATCTAAAACTCAATGAATCACCAATGCCCAAGTTTGGGAAACAACAGTTTGTGGGTTTCTGGCCTAAACCTTCACATGCCTGTGTAGGTCTCTCCTTCATGATTTACTTTCACAGCAGTAGATGATGAAAACCCACACTTCGCCTCTACAAGACTCTGGTGCATCAGATCATTATCACCCTAAATTTCTTCTGAGATATTCCACAAAGCAAGGAAACTGGTCTCTTCAGGTGGAAATCTGTTCATCAAACTTACTTCCCAAACACATCATGAAGCTTCTGAGTCTGATGAAGTCTGTGGACTGATAGGACTGAAGAAACCCAGCCTTTAACGTGAGATACCAGCTGTGGACAGTCCTGCTCACCGAGTCTGACTGGGGACTGGCCAGCACTTGGAGCTATAGAAGGGGGGCAGTCTGGATCAGTTACCCTTGTTGGCTGCAGTCTGAGCAGGGAAATGGAGAGCATCTATTCTCCATCTATGGGGTGGGGGCCTGCCCTCCCATCTTCCCACACTGTGCTCTGAGAAGAGCTGCTACTTGTGTGAACTTTCCCATCTCCTCTACTCCCTTTTGAAGGCTCAAATGCATCATCTTACCCTCTGTGCTTGCTGATGGACCTACTTCTCAGTAACAAGGCAGTAGACCAGCACACACAACCAACTTCATCCCATTTTCTGCTTGCCAGAGGATGGTATTGCAGTGTCTCACATGATAGTTTGTTGAAGCTTCAGCAGAAAGTGATCTCATCACGAGTATGCCTTAACAAATCTACCTCATCTTACCTTGGCAGGTTGCTCACTTGGGAGTCTTTCAATGTCCTTGTTGGAATGCTTTGTTCCACATCGACTTGAAAATTTGTTAAACCAGGTTTGAAGAACTTGCAGGTGTGGATGCCTTTACAGTACCAACGGGCACTGCAGTTAAAAATATTTATCAAATAGAGATGAAGAAATTAAAGGAATACCATGTTTGTTTACCTTATGTGAGGACTAGCTGGCAATTTAGCCTTAAATCAGGTTGTCGCTAACTTTGTCATGAAAAATTTGTCTACTTTTCTGAACTATACTTCTTGTTGTCATAAAATAGCTTTACTCTCAAGCATTCTGTGTTATTTTATAGTTTGTCGGTATTTTAATTAAGTCACGATGCATGCAAAATGAAGTTCTTTAAAATTTCTTCTTCACAATGTAAACAACTCAAGTTTCTATTTCTCTAAATGTACCATGTTCTGGCATAGCAGTATAAAGTACAGAGTCCAATGGGTTAGCAATTTCTTTATTAGCAGTACCTTCACATTTATCCTTTTCTCCCTATCAGAATCAAGACTGCACAGAGTTATCCTGAATTTGCCACATCCAAGTGTCTGTGAAGTGCACCAAGCAGGATGAAAGAAATTGAAAATGGCAAAGTTGTGACAATGACTATACTGAAGATAATAAAAGGAGACAAAGACAGTGTGGCCAAAACTGGGGAAAAAAACCCCAAACCTGGAGAAAAATACATATTAATACTACGTGTTTTTATTATTATATTTGCTTTCATCTTTGAACTTCATTAAAGAAGGAATGTTCCAGATTCATAGTATTTTTGAAATGCATTATGCATCCCAACTTAGAATATCCTGAGTCAGAAGGGTCATGGAGTCCAGCTGGACTCGCACCCTCCATGTTGTCCCCCTTCCCATCCTCTCCCAGCACACCAGCCCCCTGGGGAACAAGTTCTCCCCAAAACCCTACCAGAGCCCACTGAAACAGCAAGGTCTGGCTTTTGTGTCCCTTCTACACAGTTTGCCACAACTGAAAGGAGTCTGGCTGGTTCCGCTGTACTTGCAATGGCCCTGTAAGTAGATGAAAATTTCATGGGCCCAGCTACATCAACCTCTTGCCTTTACTTTCCTCAATAAAAGGCATTGATTTGAAATACATTCACAGAATATTTAGTTGATGGTTGGAAAGGAGCTACGGAGATAATCTAGTCCTATCACCCCACCAATGGAGGGTCACCTGGAGGTGACGCAGGAATGTGTCCAGGTAGGTTTTAGTCTTGAATGTCTCTGGAGGACACTCCACAACCTCTCGGAAGCTGTCCCAGTGCTCTGCCATCCTTAATGTAAAGAAGTTCTTCCTCATGTTAAGGTGAAGTTTGGTTGTTCATTACCACTGAAGTCAAACGCTGTCAGCTTGTGTAGCTATTTATACTTATAAGTAGGTAATCAGAATAACCACTGGTTTATAACAAACAAAAGAGAGTTTACTTTATTGATTTTTTTTGGTAGCAGTAGAAGGACCACATTTTTGCAACATTTTTTTCAAGAATAGTTCAGTTCTACAGAAATAATTCTGCATTTAACAAGAATGAAAGTTCCACAAAAATGTGAAACAAATAATTGCTAATTGTGTGGAAGACCTGTCTTGCACTGTTGCAGCTGTCCTTACTCTTAAAATAATCTAAACCTAATTAAAAAAACTCCGAACCCAGGAATAAACCATAACAAATTGTTTACTACTGAAATCTACAAAAACATTACCTGAGCAAACCACTTTGATAACAATAAGAGCTATTTTTTGTCAATTGCTTTACAAAACTGGATCAAAATATGATGGTATATTGCAAAGCATGAAAATCAACACTAAAATGCTTTGTTATTTTTATTTCTGTGCAAAATGTTAAATGGCTGAAACAAATGATAAATATGCCACCCCTAGAATTAAAAAAAACCAAACAACAAATTAAATTATTAGATGGTGCATTAAGTGCAAAAGGCTGCTCCATGTGCTTAGATCTAGCTTTGGCTTCAATTTGGATTGAAGTAATGTCTAGAAATGCATCTCCTTTTTTCACTATGAGAACAGTCAGGCATTGGAACAATTGTGCAGAGAGCAGTTAAACAGTGCCTGTCCTTGGAAGTTTTCAGAGCAGGCTGGATAAAGCCCTGAGTAACAGGGCCTAACGTAATACCTAATCCTGCAGTGACCGGACTAAAAACTACCTGAGGTCACTTCTAACAGGAATGACTGTATTCTGACATAGTATTGTGACAGAACTACTCCTAGGAACAATCTACAAGCATTTCTGTTTGAAGGTTCGCCATCACTTATTTCCTTAGACAAAATACCCTCAACTGGTATCTGATAATTTACAAGCAAGCTTGCATTTGAAATCAAACTTCGTTGGAACTAAGTTAGACACTTACACTATCAAGTGTTGAGAGCCTGAAGTATGATTCAGCAAGGACTTTAAAAAAAAGAAAACAGACTGAAAAGTGTGCAAAACTTTATACCTGGACATCAAGCATCTCTTTAATATACATTTTACATTAAGTATACTGTGAGAATGATAAAGATCTGATTTTTGATGAACCATCAAGTATATATACTGGGAGCAAGAACTTCAATAGGCAAATGTCCCTTTCCTGCCTCCTAATCATTTTTGCATTCCTCATGGACTGACCGCAGTGCATTGAGGGCTTCCACTGTCACTGTGAGCTTTCCAATTACTGCATTGGCATCTTGTGCGTCGAAAACTAGAAGGGAAACATCAGAAAACAGCATTAGCTTTTCAACTTAAGATTTCACTTTTGTTTTGATAGTTTTATTTAGTGTTTGGACAGATTAAAGCACAACTAGCATTTGCTAAAAAAAAGGGAGAAATAAATGAATAATTTTGCAGTTCAGGTCCTCAGGCTACTGGAAATTACCCACTCCTAGACCTAGAATATACATCAATAAATGTATTTGTGTTGAAATTAATTTAGAAAGGAAACAATCAATATAATAATTGTCTATATAATGTTTTTCACAATATGTAAATAAAGATTTTCCAAATTCTATTAAACATATATCTACATACATAGGAATAGTTTTAAGTAAAAATACACCAATTAATGCTTTTTCTACACTGTGTATGATGGATGGGTCCAAATCAGCCTCGACAAATCACTCAGTGAACTGTCAACTTCAAGAGCAGACTTCAGGGGACTCTATCCTTTTTACTTAAAAGAAGAGCAGGATAATTATAGTTAATTACATCAGAGGATAACACTAATTCTATTTTCTCACTTTTTATACTGTCCTATCTCTGAGAGATACTGTTAGATGTTTTGACTACAGTATTTTTCATCCATCTTCTTGCTTAACCATTCACTTAATTGCTTCAAATGTCGCATAAACCACTTTGACATATCAGCAATGAAAGAACAAAATATGAGAAAGACATATGGTTGCAATCCTCAAAAAGAATAAAGGAAGTTTGGTATCTAACTTAAGAATGACTTTATCTTCATGCAGTAGTGTCCTCCTATGAATTTCCCCGTGTCTAGGTTTATTATTTTTCCTTAAACCAATATCCAACTCGGAGAACGTGTACAGCACTAAGCAGTGCTGTTTATTGTGCCCTGACATTTAATTGACATTTGTGTTCAGATCTGAAGAATTGATCCTTTTACAATTACTTCATCTAAGAAAATATACATATATATTATTTTGCCATGATCTGATATATTTTAACATAAAATTAATTTAAATTTTCTGTAACATCTTAATTTTCAGAAAATATGAAAGTTTATACGCTATGGATGCAATGAAAATCCCCAAAAAACTGTACAGCGTATGCAGGAAAGGGGAAAAATGCAGAAGGGAAAAAGAATAAAAGTATTTCTAGCCATTATTATAATTTTCATATATATGATTAACATAAAGTAAAATTAGTTTCAATTAGTCTGACAATTAGGGGAAGAAATGCTCCTCGCAATATTGCAGTAATTGTCATTACATGGTAATGATTAGCTTACAGTAACTAGTAATAAAACTCAGTCCTTCTGGTCCTAATAACTCTCTCAGATGATGATTAGGAATTTTAAGAGTTTTGTGAAAAGTGACTTTCAAGAATTATACCTACCTAACTAATCAATCTTATTTAATAGGAATTATGACAGTGGGAGATATTGTCACAAATTCCAGAACAAAAATCAATCTTCCAGTGAGAGATTACAAAATAAATTTTTGGAGGAGCTTTTGTACTTGGAGAAAATTATTGGTGGTGAAAAGCTTAAGTTCCTCAGCCACAGCAGGAAATACATCAGATCTGTATATTATTCTTCCAGAGTATGGAAATTTGATGATTCCCAGAATTTTCCTTATTTTCCTGTAAATTTGAGCATTATAGCAACAGTGTGGATGCAAATCATGCATGATAATGGGAATGGATAAAAAAGCCTATTTCTTTCCCTCATTACTCAGCTCCCCACTGCTCAAGTACAGGAATTACACACAACAGTAGAAGTAGTAAAGTTACATTTCCCTGGCATTTTCCTGGCGCTCACTAGAACTTTTCTATTGCAAAAGGCATCTTGTGAACATGGATGCTCCACAACCAATCACTCTTACTGGGAAAGGAGAGTGACTCTTTTGTAAAAGAGGTGCTTTCAGCTTCTTCACTGAGCTTCACCTCAAGGGGGAAAGAGGATTGAGAGGAAAAGGTACAGAGAAAAGTGCACCCTGTGTCTCTGCTGCTATGGGGAACAGGAAGCTGAGCAAGGGGATTGTTATCCTCATAACTGACAAAAGGACCAAAAAGCCTTTTTGAGTCTTCTTATCAGCGTTATAAAAATGCATCCTATGACCTTAGGAAATGGAAGATTCCACATTTCCTATTCACATCACCTTGCTCTGATGAGTCACAATGGGTTTGGTCAGTCTGTTACAGAAGGGTGCTCACTAAAACTGATTCCTAATCAAAACCACCAGTATTTCACATTGTCTCATACACGTTTCATATGGAGGAAACAAGCTTGAGGTACTCAGGGCTATAAGGTAATTTCAAATAAAATACAGACATTGGTAATACCAAATTGTTGATGAAAATTTTAATACAAAACCAATTTTTATATAGAATACATATTTATTGTCCTACCACAATGAAGCATATTGTAGAAAAGACAGAATTATAGCAGTGGACATAGCTTGAAAGTTCTTAGGTTTTATAAACTAATTTCTAGGAGGTTAGAATGCTGTTTGGTTTGGGGTTTTTTAAAAAAAAATTAGGGAATAATACTAATGATAGTTTTTACAGACTTTTGCAAACAAATGTGGAAATTATTAGTTAGTATTAACGAATTTATTATTGAAACAATTACTTGCACAGTAATGCCTGCAAAGCAAAGCAGAAATTCAATGAATTTTAGGCTACAGAAGTTTACAAGAAAGCGGTCTTTGAAACTTACCATCAATATCTTGCTCAATGATATCTCTTTGCTTCTGGAATATCTCTTTTAAACTAACATAAGCAAACCCAATATCCTCACATTCAAGATCCTGCTCATCTTCTGGAGGATCACTGACCACTGTAAATTTTAGGCTAAACACACATGCACAAAAAAAAGTTATTTTGCTTTCAAAAAAGGGTCAAAAATCAAATTATAAATAATGAAAAAAGAAAAAACCACACTATTTTACAAGTTTAAAATGCATAAACACCTGTAGTGTTATGGGCAGAATATTTCCATAAATTTTGTTTCTTGGTGGTCCTCTTGCTACAAAAAAAAAAAGGGAAACTGGACTACTGATGAACTTCTGTCTTCCTATTTATTCAGTACAGAACTGAAATTTCAGCACAAGCCAAACCAGACATTCTGATAACTGCAGGAAACAACCTACTTAGTAACACAAGGGACAGTAGTGACATGATGGCACATGTAAGAGATTAATGCTTCTCTTCTGAGAAAAAGCTCACTGCTGTTACTTTACCTTATTTTTACCTCAGGTTTGTAAAATATTTAGTATAGTTATCTGTAGCACACAGAGCAGCTCTTATTTCACTGTGCTGAGGAATCAGTCCAGTGCAGGTGGCTCAGAAGCAGCTGCAGGTAAAGCCCAAGGCAAGAGGCTGTGAAGCCAGTACCCCTTAGCACAACAAAGGGCCAGGGACCCATGGCCCAGGCAGGGGAGGGACACTCCGAGATCCAGGCAGGAACCAGGAACTGCCAGACTTTGGGTACAGCCAGCTGAGGGACACTTCAGGACATGGCAGGAGCCCCAGACTCTGTCCTGTGAGGGTATGAAAGCCCACAGGTTCCTTTGTTCAGGGTCCTTACTCTGAGGCTCCAACTTGAACTGTAATTGTCTTATTTAATTACTGCACCAAAAAGTTATTTTAAGGATTTGGGACCTCTAAGACTCTGCTGGAGTTGGTGAAGGCAACAGGTCAGACTGGACAGTGTGGGGGTGCAGCTGCCAAGGGACCTCAGTCCCAGATCAGGTGCTGAAGTGTAACTGCCACAGTAGTCCTGGATGGTTGGACAGGGAAATTTCTTTGGCAACTAAATTATCTGCCAGGGAAATAAAAAGGAGTATTTTATCCTCATTATTGTTAAATCTTAGTAAAACTTGCTTTAGTAGAATATGTTTAGCAATGTTCCTGATATAGATGCCAAATAAGGAACATGGAACGAAGAGAGATCAATCTCTCTTTCTCGGAGTGAATCAGTGATTTGCGAGTAAGATTTACAAATGACTCTGATACTTCAAATGCAATTAGCAGGTATCCTAGTCTTCTGTAAATGGAATGGATCTTTAAATTACTAGTTGTGCCATTTCAATGAATATTGACATTCAAGAAGAAACAGAATCAAAATATGTCATTCATTCTCTCCAAATAATGCACATGGCTACCTCAATGAAAAGAAATGAGTAAGAACAAATTTATTACTATAAAATTGAACAAGTCGAATTTCTAGTCTTTCTCATATGTATTCATATAATAGATGTCTGCTACATCCATATATATACACATATACTTTTTTTTCCTTTAAATTCTGGGGCCAAGGAATACTTCCTGCAGTTCTTAAGACTCCTTTTAGTATTCTGAATTCAGAGAGCAACAAATGTACTACTCTCCCATCACACAGATATGTGCTTTTCAAATTCGTTACTGACAGACTACTGATGATAGACTCTAGAAACTCTGTTTTGTAAAACAAAGTTGTTTAAAAAAAACACCAACAAAACAAACAACCCCTGCCCCCCAAATTAAACCACAGCACTAAACAAACATTAGATGAGTTTGTAATACTCCATTCCATAAGCACCGATTCGGAGAATAAAACTAGCAGCACATCACAATGCAGGCGTCATTCCTAGCTGAAACGATTATTTTTTTCTTGTTAGTTATCTATTAACTATGTAGGGTTACCTTGTCAGTAAAGACAAAAAGACAAACCACGAGCAATTTTTACAAAGACCTATACTAGAGGTTTTTAGCATTAATCTGTACCTGTCAGCACGTAGATCTGGCTTTAGAAGAATTGACTTGAGATACTCCCTTTCTGCATGATTATCTTCCTTATCCACATTTATCACTGCAAAGCAAATAAATTAATATAACTGGTTATCAATTGTTTTTCACCTATTAGAATAAAGAACATGAAGAAAAGAACAAAGTAAAATGAGCGTTTATTTAATTTTCTTTTCTAAGGAAAAACAACAATGTTAGAATCAAATGTTAGAATCATGATCTAATGGTGTGCCACTGGCGGGTTTATATGAACACTGTAAAAAGATACAAAAGCAGCACCTAAGCATGCACAGAGCTGCTACTTTCTATTAACGGCAATAGCAGCCATGATTTTAAAAGGGTCTTTATTGCTTTGTATTTGAAGTGATTTACTGTATTTCCTTCCACTAAGGAAGCTAGGGATAATGAGAATGTACGGCAAAGTGCTTATCCTTTTTGACCGCCTCAGTAATTCAATCCTCCTTTCCTGCCACAGCGTTTCAATACAAGAAATCTTCAGACCAATGGACTGCAGAAAATCTGTCATCTATACTCCCTCTCAAGTGGGCAATGCCAACATAGCAGTGATTGATGTGACATTTCTGATTCTCTTCAGTCTTCAGCTACACATTGAACAATCCAATAATCTATGAGTAAGAGAAGGATCTAAATGAGTGAATTATTTGGGAAGTTGCATTCTAAAATCAGGTTTGTAGGTGGTAGCAGTTTTAAAGATCTGACTAAAACACCATTTCTGCAAAGCCAATTTTCTCTAATTATTTTAAAAGAATGCTTAATTTGAATGTCTGTATTAAGGGTTTGTCATAAATAGCAATAACCCTAACCCTGATTCATGCACTCCAGAATACTCTCAGCTAAAAGCCCAAGACTGAAGCACTCAGGCTGAATCTTAAATGAAATAAAATTTTACCAGGAAGAAGAAGTTAATTGAAACATGATGACATAGCTGGAGAAATAATTAACAAGAGAATATAAATTATTACAATAGATCTATGTATGCTAGTAGTGTAAATATAAAGTATTAATTGGCAATGTATTAGTATGAAACAAGTATGAATTAGTTCCCCTCTTAAAAAGTTGCCATGAAAGAAACACTGAGTATTTGCAAGTAGTGATGAAGTCCAATCACATATTCTCTCTTTTCACCTAAGTTTTAGATGCACAGATTAAAATGTTTTGCTTTTGCTAAGATGTATCATCATGTACTGACAGAAAAATTAGATCATCACACTCTTCTAAAAATAATATATACATTTTAGTTATGTATAGTCTAATTTTGAAATTTATGCACTACCAGCATATTTAAATATATTGTGATGTTACCATTTTATACACCAGCCTCCTTCGGCATTTCATTATATGCTAGATAATTGCATACTTACCTCATTTCTTAAAAATCCCTTTTAGTATTTCCCAAAATATCTGGAAAATAGGCAAATAGAGTCGGCACATAGAGAAATGCAACTATAATATACAGAAAGTAGGCTTTATTGCAGCTATTTTCATAAGAGAGAATTTAAGAGAAGAAGCAAGCCTGCTCACAAATACACCAGACTTACCAGTGCTATAGTTATAGTGAATCCTCTTACCACCAGGTGGTTTGGGAAGTGACAGTGGGGTCTCCTCTGCAAGGAAATTGTTTAATCTGCATTCTACAAACAGCTGCTGTATTGTTTCATCTGCTGTAATTCGTGACTCAGTAAGACCAAGTGATGTAATTTTAATCTGGATTTTTTCAACTCCCTATTTAAAAACAAAATATAAACATAATACAAATGATTTTTTGTTTCTTTAAGTGCTAAGACAAAACAAACATATATATATATATATATATATATATATATGGAAGTCATCAGCTTTTTATATTATTAATACTGATTGACGGACATATACCAAATGAGAATCTAAAGCTCCAGAGTTTGTAGCTAAGACTGTTGTTGCAAGAGATACTGATTTCCATTCAATGTTTAAAACATTTTTGTAGTAGTCATAGTTATAGTCTGCTCATTATCTTTAGGTAAAAATGCTATCAAAATCACAAATTCCAGCTGTCATCATTTTTACCTACATGGCAGTGATCCTGTAACTGCTTAAAATACTGTCAGTAATACAAAGTACTGAAGTTTTCAAAATAAAAGAGAATTGTTAGTACCTACTGCAGACTATACTACAAAGAGTTCAATTAAAATCCATAAAGTCACAAAATTGTTAGGTATGTAATGTAATAATGCATTTGTAAAGAATTCAACTTCATAGAGTGAACCTTCCTAGTTAAGTCCAACACACCTTACAAAGTTAATTTTAACATGTGATAATAAAAGTAATATCCCAATTGTTCTTCACTGTAGCCTTTTCTTATTGTCTTTAACTGAAGTTCCTGATATTCTTCTGTTCCTTATATGAAATGGTTTCATACTGTTCTGCAAAGTCTGGAATATTTATGTACAGATAAATTTTAGCAAGCTTTATTTAGGTGGGCATGTTGGACTCAAGAGAAAGAGTCACAAATATTTCTTGTAGTTACTCTGCAAGGAAAGAAAAGCCACAATGGTTTCAAAACTGGAATATGTAGGTGAACATTCAATGATGAAGTTCTTCAAAGAGCAAATAGAACACACTGAATACAGAGATGTTGAATTTTTTAAAAACTTATTTCTTTTCAATATATTACTTTCTTTTTATAACTTTTTAAAAATATTTCTTCTATATGGAAACATTTTGACAATTTTCATTTCTAAACTTAAATCACTTGAAGTACTAAATCACATTCAAAGTATTAGCTTTCTATATTCAGTCAGAATTCCAAATTAATGTTCTTATTTAATATGGAGATACCTTACATTTTGCTGAGAAAATTATAAAATGAATAAAAATGAAAAGCAATGTATCCTATTGTAAAAATATCCACCATACAGAATAATTTCCATTGCTGTCAAGTCCTTTCAGTATTTGATTATGTAATTTTACCCCTTCCTTTCAAAAGACTTTTCTTTTTATTATGTATCCTATGACACTTTAACAAAAATCCAAATCTGGATCAATATTTCAATAAGGTTCTTCCACTATTCAGCAGGTTCATGGAAATTCTACCAGGGTGAAAGAAAAAATTCCACACCATTCTGTCTCTACTAAATAAAGTTTCATGGCTTTAGCAATTTTTTTCTCCTAAAATCTAGTAAGTTAAGTGGCTACTGAATGTTATTAAAGTGATGGTTTTTGACTTGAATATGCTTTTCATATTCAAATTTATAAATGAAATTAAACAAAATTAAGTATTTTATAATCAATCGTACATCATAGACAAGAAGAAAAAATAAAGAAGCAACTGGTATAGCTTGATACTGGAAAATCTGTTAGATATGCCTTATGATCCATATATCTAAGAAAAAACTAGAATTGTCTAATTTGCAACATACAAATAACCCTGGTGTCATCTTAAATGACTTATGTAGTGTGGCATACAATTCATGTTTATAGGGTAATTAGCACAATGATCTCCAAAAATCACAAAACTTATAGTATGTGAGTATCAGCAGGACAGTTATCTCGAAAGATAAAAGGCAGTGATTTCTGATCTTAACAAAAAAGAATCCAACAGCAATTTTGACATGCTGTATTCTATAATTGACCCAAGAATTCAAGCAAAGTAATGTGTATTTTTAAAATCCAACTTTTATCAAACGTTACCTTAATAGTGTATAGCTTTTACTGGTTTTATCTACTGTTCATAAACATGCACATTGTTACCAAAAACCAGATCAAAGGAGGAACGTAGAAATTTATCAACGTGAAATTAATCTACATACAAAATCCTCTCAGAATTGTTCTTACATAATTTTGATAAAATAAAATACAGGATGACTAGAAAGGTACAGAGCAACTGTATAATAGTTTGACTTAATAGTGATTACTAGTATTCATTTTAGTTCTCAAAATTACAGGTGAAATTTTTTACATTTTACTTATAAATAATGCAATCTTCAAAAGTACCTTCTGCATTTTTCTGAAGAACATATAAGTGACAGCATTTCTACAAATCTACTGTAGTTGAAGACTTGTTAAAGATTTACTTTCTACAGCTTAAAAAAAAAAAGAAGCAGTATTTCTTATACATGTTTCTTGTTACTAGTTACTTTGTAAGATACCACATACCCTTGAAAAGACCACTTAAAAAAACCCCTACCTCTAGGATATCACATTGCAGAACATTCAAACCTGTTAATTTTAAGTACTAGTTTTATGGCTAAGATTGTTCAGTCAACGTTAGATCTAAAAGTGTGAATTATTTTTTTTGAGACCTATCCTATTGAAATACTGTTCAAAGTAAGTTCTGCAAATTTATATCATGCTGTGCTATTTTGCATATATGACTTTTAGTCCTGAATTGCTGGTTTTAAGAATAAGTCAAGAGAATTAATACTGTACATGTACAGCTTAATTGAAAACTGATATTGCAAAGCTACTTTTAGAGGACATTAGGCTTAAATATTTTTCTTAGTCTTACCAAATAATTGCCATGTATACTCTGACTCAGCTGCTTAATATCTGTGGATACTGGACTTGAAATAATACAGTCATCACTATCAGTTTTTATTGACTCAACAGCATCATCCTCTTGATGATCTTCTTGATCTTTAAAAAAAAAAAAAAATTAATGCAGGTAACACCCGCTATATTTTAGACCACCTAAGACTTCATAAAAAATCTGATAGCAATAAATTTCCTTTTGTAATATAGAAAGAGTAAGTGCCAGATAAATCTTCTCTTCCTTGAAGAAGATTAACACTGTGAATCAATGACATTTAGAGTAATCTAATCTGTATTTTTTCTGGTTTGTTAAAAAAGTGATAATGTTTTCCAGATGGAAACTGGCTAATAGAGTAAATCCTGAAACGAACTAAGTATGCACAACTGTTAGCTTTATTTAAGAATATGGTCTGAATTTCCTCTGACTTCCTTTAATACCATGCATATGTGAAAGAAGAATGCACCTTTTTTCTTTAGTAAAAAGGTAGTTCTGTATGCAGGTGCATTACTTTCTGTAACTTGCAGAGCATTTATTTACATAAAGCAAATTATAAAGACAATTGGTATTCCAAATCAACATTCAACAAGTTTTTCCAATTTTTTAAATGAATTCTTATGCAAAAGCTGCCAACAAACAAACATAAAATTTTAGCATTCTGCTTCTGTTTCTATTTTAAACTTGGTATCATGGACTTGGTTATTGCTATACTAAACAGTTTAAGCTTGGAGCTGGAACAGGTTGACCTGGCTTTTCCATCTTTAAATAAACCTAATAACTTTGTGTCACACATGTGATATGGCATCCTAGGCCTCTCACTCTCTGAAAGGATTCCGGTACCACCGTTGGCTGTTATCTGCAGACAAAAAGAGCATATTCATTAAAACAGTCTTTGGAACAGCGTAGATCTAAGGGAGAATATTAAGACATTTAAAATAGAAGCCAGGTAGCCAGGTTTCCTTTAGTATTTTACAAATCTAAGTCAGATTTTTGCAATCAATTACAATATGGCTTCCATTTGGGAAGAAAACACATCTTATCCACCACGCAGCTTCAGCTGTAGCCTATGCCAGATATCATTTATGTCATGAAGTTTCTCATAATGAGGCAGCTTTCACTACTAGGAAGAAATGCTTATGAAAATGGAAAGAGAAAGGTTTTTTTCAGAAAATACAGCTACTTATTAATAACAATGAATTCTACCTTCTGGTTGCAATTCCTCAATTATTTCTGTCTCATCTCTAGAAGTAATCAATGTCTGGTCAGCCAACTGCTCCTCTGACAGATGAGAGAGCTCTTCTTTTTCCTGCTGAATTTCTTCAGCTATCTCCTTCACTTTGTCACCTGACAGCCGTTTAGCATCCTGTACCACATGCTACAGAAAAAGAGAAACTTACAGTCCTTATAAAACTCCTTGAAAAGCAGAAGTTACTAAAGAAGTTACTAAACTCTTCAAAACTTGAAGAGTTATGGCCCACATTATCCAGAGCCTTTTAACAATGTATTGCTTACGCAGTGCAGGAAACAATGAGAAAGTGTCAACTGCTGTAACATATAATTAATGTACAGCAGAAAGACATTTATCTAACTGCATTTGTGAAAACATAACTATTATAATGATTTTGTACCTATCAGCATATATACAGCCTGTTTGATTTCCAGTTTAATTTAATCTTTTTCTACAACTTCTACAAGACTCAGTCAAAAAAACCCAAAACACACATTATATCCAAGAAGAACTTTTGATAGCTAAATTTACACACATAGGCCCATACATGTGAATTGATTTTGGTATGAATGTTATTATCTCAAATCTGTAGTTAGGTCATTATTATAACTGCAGTGAACCCTATGGAATTGCATTTTAAATATCAAAGTACTTCCATATTATTTTCAAATACAGATCCCTAAGTTAGAGATAAAACAAGGGGAAGCCTTTAATATACAGCAGACAATTATTATACAAAAGTAGGTATAGATTTACTGGTGGAGAAGCATTTGGACAGAAAATGCCTCCTTTGCTTCCCTGCATTACCGTCACTGGTTCTTATCCTCTGCTAGAACTTTTACATATGAGGCTAGACAATTCTCACAAGCAGTTTGGGTGAGTCAAACCATTTATCTCACCTTTTAGCGAGTCTCCTTTTTTATTTGCTTTGGCATGTATCACATTGACAAGTAATTTTATTAAGAACTAGATTCTCTGCTATTGAGAAAATGAACTGGAAAATGAAACAGACTTCCCATTTTAATCTGTTGACCTTCTGTTTTTCTTGCATGGACGCTTTGTTGCCATTTCATCACAAGACTCAGACATCAGAGAAGGCCATACTGTTTTCTTATTTAGGTCTAATAGTACTTTTGTCCTTAACCAGACAACGAGGCTTAGATTTTTAAAACAGCTACAGGAGCTGCTACCCAACAATGAAGACTTCTGATAGAGACCAAGTAGCTGTCTCACTTAGAAAATCCTAGTTTGTGAAAAATGGTCAAACTTTAGAAGTTACTGTTTGGACAGCTGAAGATATTTTGTGTGTGCAACTATCCGGCTAACATTTCAGTTTTTCACATCTAAGCTCTCAAAAGATTATATTCACCAACATTTGACTTTTTGTTTTTTAAAGCTGATAAATGCAACAGATCAACTTAATTGTTATTTCCAGTCTATACTCTATAGCTCTCAACAAAGTTTTAGTAATAGTAAACCAAACAGTAACAGAATCTGTTAATTGAAAATTGATATTAACCTTTCAAAGAATAAATCCAACTAAGTAATTTATGAAAGGAAAAAACCCCACAACTAGTTTTTAATTAATGCCATATTATTAATATTATAATTATATGTAATATGTAAACATAACCTTTTATAATTGCCTGTTGAAGAATCTACTTTTACTTACTGGATTTACTTAAAAACACAACCTATTTTTAATTCTCCAAATGCAAATTATTTTAGAAGAAAATTTACAAAACGCAGCAAATACATTTGGGTTAGTTCCATGCAGACTCTCTTAGACTCTGGAAGGATGTACAGGTGACAGTGTAAGCCAAGTTAAGAAGTATCATTATTTTCAGAATGTGTGCAATCTCAGCTTAATTTTAGAGGTGACTCTGAACTGTATCAAACTGTGCATCTCATTAGCCCAACACTCAGGGTCTGTTTGGATTAAGCTGGTTTCTACAGAGGGATTTATATGCAGTGCAAGTGGTAACTGTAGAAAGACACTTGAATAATGCAGAGAGTTGAGAAACACAGTGTAGCGTGAGCTGACTGGTCCTGTGAGAATCTGCCCTAAGCCAGCAGAAAGTGAAGCTTGTAAACCGTGGAGGATATCAAGCAGTTCTGAGGGAGTCACACAGCTATCACTGCATTGCATCCCCCACCTATACACAGTACTATGCTACCATTCATTGCCTGGGACATCACAGTATTGTGCTGCTAAAATAATCCAGTGTTCTTAATTATTAGTTCTACAAATTGCCCATATGGAGCTACAAGTAGCCTTTCATGCTTGGTTGTGCATGACAGAAATAGTCAGAACTTACTGCCATCTGTATTGCACTAAGATCCAGAAAGGAGACTCTCTTGTGTGCTTGAGCTGCACGCTGCTTCATTTTGAGTGCTGGAGTCTGTAATAAACAAATATATTGAAGAAAATTTATTGCCATCTTATTTTACAGTAAATTATGAGGAACTCTAATTTTTTTCAAAGCCAAATCTAATAGCACTAAATTAAACTCTAATCAGATACAATTTAACAGAATTTATACACAACATACTTCTCAAATTAGATCATGGAACCCATGAAGATTTTATATATAATATAAATTTACATTATGTAATAATATAAAACATTAGAGTTACTCCAGACATAGAATATTTTCAACAGCTTAGGTTAAAAAAAAGCCCACTAAAAACTCTAATATTTTAATTTATACATTTCAACCTGTTTGCTTTTATTTCTTAAACGACTGTTAAAGATGTTTCAAAGTCCCTTCTTTTTCTGTGGCCCTTATTTAAATGTGATTGTAAAATGAATTTTATTTTCAAAATGCTCTTCAATATTCAGCTAAAAAACTCAGTAAAAAACCCATTGTGAAGCAATCTCAATCTCATAATACTCCAATGTTAAGAACTGCAAAACCATTTGGAACAACTGCTTCACCCACTCTATGTATCCGACACCTGGTTGGTTTAAAATTCATGAATATGATACTAAAACATCTTACAGCTCAAGAAAATGAAATATAATGTCAAATGTTATAGTGACAATTTCAGTATATAAATAACTAAGTTTAAGACTTTTCCTCTTCAGACAAGGTATAGTTCAACTAATTCTTGATCTCTTTATATGAAAAACTGCTAATGTATTTTCCAGTTCAAGAATCTTTAACTTTCTTACACTTTGAACATATCAAGACTCGACCTAAGCTATTTGAACTTAAAAAGAAAGAACGGAACAGTTTATTTGATCAAAACTATCGCAGAATCACAGAATTCTGGCTTGGATTGGAAGGGAACTTAAAATTTAGTTGCAAACTCCCTGCCATGGGCAGGGACACCTTCAAACTAGACCAGGTGCTCCAAGCCCCATCCAACCTAGCCTTGGACACTTCCAGGGATGGGGAAGCCCCAGCTTCTCTGGGCAACCTGTCCCAGTTGAAGGAATGGCTGCAGTAGTGTCAGGAGAGGGACAGAAGTTGGACATCAGGAACAGGTTCTCTGCACGGAGCGTGCTCGGGCACTGAACAAGCTCCCCAGGGAACGGTTATGGTCCCAAGGCTGCCGGAGCTCCAGAAGCATTTGGACAATTGGGATTGTCCCAGTTTGCATTTGGGATTGTTGAGGTATCTGTGCAGGGCCAGGAGGTTGACTCATTGATTCTGATGAGTGCCCTCTAACTCAGCCTATGTTTCTGTGAAGAATTTCTGCCTTCTAATCTAAATCAACTTTCCTCGAATTTAAAGCCATTCCCCCTTGTCCTATGCCCTTGTAAAAAGCCTCTCTCCAGCCTTCTTGTAGGCTTCCTTAGGACTGGAAGACTGCAATTAGGTCACCCTGAAGTTTCTCTTCTCCGTGAAGTAATTCTCTCTACCAAGTACCGACCCAAACATACCTTGGACAGTTGTTCATGTTCCCTAAAACTGGGTGTTATATATCCCAGATCCTTTGACCTCTGTTTGTAGGGAATAATAGCTTGGTTCATAGGAACTTGTAACCTGATCCAGTATTCTACGGTACCATAATTTTGAATGTGTCCTTTTTTTCCTAAGGAATAAATAGGGGATTGCATTAATTTTCTTTTCATCATTAAGGTATGTTACTCAAAAGCTAGGAAAAACCACAAATTCAAGATTTATAGAACAGCCACAAATTAAAGATTGTGCCGATGCATTACACCAGTACTTGTGATGTGAGATCTGTAGTTCATGTTAGAAACAGAAATGATACCTCAGGCTCCCAGTGTATGATCCAAAATCAAAACAGGGACATTTTTCCCTACTTATGTATTTACTACAAGGTCAAATCGAAGTTCAATATTTTTATCTCCTTAAGGCAAATAAAGTTTAGGACATTTTTGTTTGTTAACCGTTAGAAGTGTCCCAAAAAGTGGTATGCAATTTAAATTACTGGCAAAGGTACCACTTCACAATGCCTTATTAAACCAGATTCTCTACAACAGTAGGCAGCTAAGAGGTCACTGAATATGTTGGTCTGACAAAATGCTTCTAGAAGAAAAAGTAAGCTGCAAAGAACATTCAAGACTTCTTAGAAGTGTCTTGTCCAGGATACCTTAAAATTATTTTAATATAATTAGTATGAATGTGCCTAAAATAATCCACAAAATGTAAACACCTCCTAGATTGTGCTAGTATATATATATATATATATATATATATAAAATGAATCATAATCACCATAATTTGTACCTTTTTCACTATTATATGGCAAACTTTGTCCTACCAGTTTAGATTACACAATTTCTTCCTTTGTTTATGGATAAGGAAAGAGGGATATACTTATGACATTCAGCCCGGATACAAAGCATTGATGTTTGATATGGGCGAAGTGGGGGTGCCTCCTTTTTTGTTTTTTTTTCCTCTTGCCCTGTGGCTGTATGCCGTTATGTGCAAAATTGCACCCATCCCAGCTTTCCACAAATGTTGGCAGAACCACAAGAACAAGCTGCACATCCAACAGAAAACAGCCTTCTTGTAAACACTTTTTTTTACCTTTTGAAAGAGTAATGCACATATTCATTTTTGGTCAAATATGCATTATTTACCACTTGCAATATAGTGACACATAATCAAACAGAATACTTTGCGATATCTTAACTACCAACTAAATTTGCTGTGTTGTAGATCTTGCCATCGTTTTCCAAGATTTCATGGAACTTAAGCTGACAAGAAGCAATTGTTTCATAATCTATGCCGTATGCACGATGAACCTCCAGTGTGATGCTGTTTTCCTGTACATAGTGAAAGAAGCTATCATCAGACTGCACAAGAAACTGAGAAGTGAAGTCATATGATGGAGTCTTCCCATGAACTACTGGGGTTATCTGAAGTTCAAAGTCATAGAATGCGTAAGTACAAAAGGTTGCAGGTTCCCAGTCACCAAAAGTGTGCACAGCTTCAGAAGAGAAGATCACTTTGCTGATATGAATTTCAAAAAGGTTCTCTCCTCTTTCTAAATGAACAGTTTCAACAAATCCACCCACTGGATCACTCGGCAATACCTCTTGTCTGGACTTAAGTGGTTTTGTATCATACACAATGTCTCTTAGTTGGGCTGCAACAGATAAAATAGAGTTATAATATGACTGTCTTTTTAAAAACTCAAATACAATTGATGACTGAGAAGAAAGGATAAAAGTATAATTCAATTATATTAACAATGTTACTTTCATAAAGGCATTATCAAAAATAATTCATACACGTAATGCCCACTGAGCACACTGGCAACAATCAAGAATATTTCCTCAGTGGAGCTGCCTCAGTATGCATAGACACAGACCCTCTAACAGTTATTAATTATCAGGTTATAAGGGAGTGAAAAGGTAAAATTCAGAAATCTTATGCCATATTCAAAGTAAGTATCACTATGCAAATGTAGCAGAGATTTAAGATGCGCATTTTTATAGGGTTGATCTAAATTTGCCAGAGAAAGAAATAGTACATCTGACTTTTAACATCTGTTACATCTTGAATGGATAGAACTACCAGCGAAGACCTTCACATGCTTCCCACCCTCAGGTGATAAGGGGTTAATAAGTGGTTAACACAGGTTGGATGGGGCTCTGAGTAGCCTTCTAGTGGAAGGTGTCCTGCCCCTGGCAGGGGTTTGGAACGAGACTGGGATTCCAGCCCAAGCCATGCTGGGATTGTATGATTCTAAGAAATCAAACTACACGCTTACAGAATTAGGACATAAACCATGATGCAGTAGACGGAACATGGAGACAAAATGTGAAAATTGTTTCAGCATCAGAGTTTGTAAAATATCCTATTTGAGGCTTCCTATGCACCTTTTACACAGTGAACCCACTAAAAAATACTTGAAATTCCTCCTGTTTAAATACTACGTCAGTATATTATAACAAGACTTGGGGGATTTTAATAACACAAAGTGATTCTGTAATGATAGTACTGCAAAGTAAAAGGTTGACCATAAAGGTATGATTTATTAAAAAAACCCCAAGTTTGGTTATTTTATTCTTATTCAGCAATAGCTGCAGTATGAAAACCACTTTATTGGATTTGGTTTAATTAATAACTGTCATTTAAGTCAATGAAAATTAACTGGAATAGATACCTTTCCATGAAAGAACTGACCTTTCTAGTAGTTTTAGAAATGGAAAAGAGAACAAATTTAAAATAGTAATTTGGAATAGATAAAATATTAAAAAAATAGTGAAGAATATAATTTAAAGATACCTTCTAGTTTTCGGATACGTGAAGCTCTAACATCAAGAAGATGGGTATACTGCTCCAATTTTAACTCATAGTCTTTCTGTAGACTTTCCATCTTTCTTGTCATTGTTTCTACTTCAGTCTGAAAAACAATTGCGTGTAAAAAGAACTTTTGAGGATTGTCTGTACTGATGTTGCACATGCTTTTGGTACAAGTTAAAATACAGTTAGATTTGAGGAAAGAACATTTAGAGTATGCAAAAATAGCAGCAGTTTTTCACTTATCAATACAACAAATCAGTTCTAATGTCAGCAAAATCTAAAAACATCAACAGGAAAAACAGAGTAGCTTTTGTGGACAATATACCCAACAGTTTCTTTAATGATTTTGTTATTTTAAATGCTAATTAATTGAATGAAAAGTCAAAATAAGATCTGCCCTATTCCAACAGTGGAAGGAGAAAAAAGACACTGAAAGCAGAGTGGTATGGAAAAGGAAGCTTATTAGATAAGCACATTTACTATCTTATCTGTGAAGACCTGGTAGGAGCTCAGAGATAACGCTCAGAGAGAAGGCACAGTCTGAGGCTTAAGGGCAGGATGAGCTAAAAGCTACAATTTAGTCACTTGGATCTCTTATTATTTTTAACAATACCTTCAGCAACAGCAGATTTTATGTTTGGTTCCCTATGCACAGACTGGCTTTGTTGCTGAATTTTCAAGTCTTAATTATTATAAGTGTCAGAGCTACAAAGGTTAAAATGTTATTATCAGGTTATTTCCCACTGTGAGTGGAGTTTAATACCTGGTAATCGTTGCTAATTTTGTGCTGCACAAGTAACAAATTCCTTGTCTTTTCAAGTTCTTGCACAGTTTCTGCATGTCTTAATTGCAGTTCCTGCATGGAGTATTCTAAATCTTTATGGATATCATCTTCCACTTTTTTGAAGAACAGAAGGTCCACATTCTTTTGTTGCTTTTGATCCTGGAGCACATTAAAAAAAATTACAAGAAAATATTTTTGCAAAAGATTTGCATGTATTTGTGCATGGCTTAATGCCAACACTGGCATATACTTTTGGTACAACAGTAAGGCAGTAAGCAGAACTTTATAAACTTTAAGCACATGGTAACACAAAAATAGGAATGAGGCAGACTAGAATGTGCCAAGATTGTTTTCAGCAATGTAATCTCATGATTATGAGGAACCAATTAAAATGTATCAGATATTCAGAAGCAGTCACTCCTGTCTATCCACTGAAAATACAAACAGATATATAAGCCTTTCTCATAATTAATAATCCAGCCTCCATAAATGTACAAACCCCGAATTATTATTCTCAAGTCTACATGCCTTCTGTAATTAATACTGGGGAGTTGGTTTTCATTGAGGTTTTCTGCATTTTTTGGGGTTTTTAAATGACATTATATAATCATCATTACAGTAAACACTTCCTCAAGAAAATAAAACATAAATTACCCAAACAGTGGAAACTGTTTTGTTTTGAAATTGCAAAATTATTTGTTCACTGATTTCTTCCTCTCACTCCATTTTCAATTTGTGCAAGAGAAAAAAGAATTGAGTATTTTCTGAGTATTTTTGGTTTTCTGTTGTAATAAACAAAGATAAGTTCCTCAGATAAGTTCCTGTGGTATTGCTATATCACATACTTGAATTTCCATGCTTATGGTACACTTGCATCAATTATAGAATTAATAAACAAAATTGGTTTTAGTAAACATTATAGGGATAACAAGATGCTGTGGGTAAGCCATTTAAATGAGAGAAACTAAGTTTTTTTTTTAAATGGCTATGAATCTGATTTAATTCACTTTTGTTGTTATAATGAATTATTTATATAAATTAAGATTTAATTCTGGCAATTTTTTCATCTTCCCTTCTGATTTCCTGTAACTAAAAAATGACAAGAGCACACATTTGAGCTTGAGGCATTAACTACAGAAAGATGCTCAAATAATTCAGCCCTTGAAAATTCCAGGTGTGTAGAAACCATACATACAATGGTCAGCCAAGGGTTTAACAAAAGAAGAAAAAAAACAACAAACCAACAAAACCACCTTGCACAAACGAGAAAATAAGAGAATGCAAAGTATGGAATTCTAGAATGGTTTGGGGTGAAAGGGATCCTAAATATCATCTAGTTCCAACCCTGCATTCTTTGTAAGATACCTTTATAAGTAAGAGGGCTTCATTGAATTCTGCCACACCAACATCACTTTCCTGAAATGTAATGGAAAGGTGTTACCAGATGTGAATTGAAGAAACACATTCAGAATAACAAGATACATTCTCACCAGACGTGACATTTTGCTTGACACCATGAATAAACACTTATGTTTCTATATTCTTTGACTATGAAGAAGTATCTGCACTATGCATAAAACATAGAGGGTTTTTTTTCTCATATTTGAAGCAAAAATACAGTTCACCTTGGTTAAAAACTTCACTTGATTTTTCAGATCATCTACTTGTTGTTTTTGTTCCAGGTAGCGGAATTGCAGGTCTTTGTTGTCTTGCATCAGCTTTTCGTTTTGGTCTTGATATAGAAGAACAAAATATTACACTTAACTAAATATAGTTAAGAAAATTACAAACTTGATTTTTTAAATATTCATATATGCATGAAAATTTCATTGCAAAATGCAGAAACTAATGTATTTTGTATGGGGAAATCTCTGTGTCCTTGTTCTGGTTAGGACGGGGTTAATTTTTGCAAGACGTCAACTTTTACTGACACAGTCAATACTTCTCTATTAAGACAATAATAAAAAAATTGTACTTATTCAATAGTGTACTCTGTAGAACAGTACTATAAATAAGAACAACAAATTCAGCAATGCATGAAATTTCATTAATGTAAAATAAAAAGTACTTAGACATAACTAAGTAAATACATACACTGTATGAATTTATAAGATGAGTGAAAACAATCCTTGCTACAGGAATTGTTTCAATCAGATTTTGTATTAGCTTATCTCAGTCTTTTAAAACCTGCATGAAACACTACTGTTAGTGAGCTTCAATGAACATGAATCAAACAGCTATTGTAATTTATGGCTGAGAATCTGGGAAATACTGGTAAGATGAGAAACATGAGTATAAATATCTAAGGGAAATGAGGCTGGTGGAAGGGTGATATGGTTTCTGAAAGTACTATATTAAAAAAAAAACAAACAGAAAACATAGTTGGAGCGTTACTCTATTTTCTATCTAAATACATTTATTTTAAGTATTACAAAGCACATTATGATGTTATGGCCAGAAAAATACTACTAAAGCAATCAGATCAAATTACAGGATCATTGTAAAAGGGAAATACAGAAGGAGGACATACAAAATGTCACGATGATGTTGGACTCCTGTAGCATTAAGAATTTTCAAGGCTTCACTTATTTTACCATCTTTCTTAGACATGCAAAAGAAGCTTAGGAAAAAAGATTCATATGCCAAACTACAAAGGGTAGACAAGACATTATTTCTACACTAGTTCTAGGCAGTACTTTAAGACACTCATTCATTTCAATTCTTGTATTGAACTTCAAAGAGGAATGTGCAGCAAAAGGCACATACTCTCAAATATGTGGCTGAGGAATGTTATACTGCCTACGTTTTGTGAAAGACAGAGCTGTAACCAAATCCTGCATACAGAGGCCTAGAGGGGTATTAGAACATCTACTCCAAGTCAATTCAACAGAAGTCAGAAGTGTAGTACTCCGGTGTTTCAGTTCAGGAGTACAACAAGCTACGTGGGAAAGGGATGGCAAACACCTGACAGGTAAACATCATGGCCACAGCAAGGAAAGACCTTGGAATGCCAGTTTTTCATTATCATGCTACAAGTAACACCTGTTAGTATGTCATAACTTCATAACAATGTAGCTTATGGCATCTTTATTTTAGTATAAATTAAGGTTAATTTTGCAAACGCTGTGGTCAAATAAAATGTTTAAATATTCAATCTGGTATGTGAAGTCAGCAGAGCTACTGAGAATCCTAACAGTACACGTGTGCTGAACTCATGCGTAAATCATATGAATTATTCACAACAAGTTGTCCCATTTCATTCCATGAAATTGTTCACAGAAACACACCTCTTAAAAATACACATTTGAAGAATCAGCTCTAAGCTAAATATCTTCACTTTCTGTCTGTGCTTGTCTTTCGTAAACTTCATATTGCTACAGTAATCAGTGCTGAGATTAAAAAAAAGATTGCAAGGTCAGTATTCACTAAGAAGTTGTCCTACAGCATGAGAAAACACATGTGAAATAATCTGTTCATTAGATTAAAAGAAAACTGTCATTTTAAATGCACAATGCTGTAAATGAAAATTAATATATACTGAAAATATTTAAAAAAATCTCAATTAATGAAATTGAAAGACAAACATTGCCAAGGGCCTATATGGGCTTCACATAACTTTGTACAGTGAACAGAATGGTGGTTTATAATTGGAGAGAGACTGTCAGAGGGGTCTCTTTCCATAAGAACTTTCAGTGTAGAGAAGAAATACTGAATAAAGTGTAAATATGAACCCAACAGATGAAGAATAAATGCAGCTGAAATTATATAAGCCTCATTCAGCCCATATTCTGTATTGGGTCATATTTTGCACTTAATAGATAGTCATAACTTAGGTGTATTTAGCAAACATATACTTAAAATACAGCTTTGAAAACACCAGCAACAGAGATTTCACTTTTCTGGGCAGTATATCTCAACTCCAACATGGGTATAATCTTATATTTTGAGAAAATTAAATTTTCTCAGAAATATACCTCTTTCTACTTTGATCTTGTCAAGGATTTCATTTTTGTCTGCTAGATCATTTTTGATAGCTGCCTCTAGTTTAGCAATTTGCAGTTTCAGTTGCTGTTCCTTTGATTTCCATTGCTGTTCATAGGGCAGACTGAAGACACTGCAATAAAACATACGTTATATGAAAAACTTTTAGAAATCAGCTTCAGCAGAAAATAATCAAGGAAAAAACCTTTTAGCAGCACAGAGACCACTGTCATTGTGGCTGAGGAATTATGTAAATATATGTTGGTCGGCTGCTCTTGAAACCCAGATGGCTCTCTCAGGATACCATTAAAAACCATGAAAGATTTGTGGGACGAGCAAAGGAACTGGCCTTAATTTAGAGCTCCAAAGTTAAAAAAAGTTGGTAGCATGCAACATTTGTGGGACTAGGAAAGCAACTGAGATGCATATCTCAGAATAATCCACAACTGCAAACTTCAGCAAGTAACAACTACAAAACCAGGGGGGTTTTTTGTGTACAAACCCTCTTATTGTAGAGAATTGGGATCATCCCCTGATTTCTTTTAAATCTGTGAGACATGCAGAAGCTCAAGTCAGTTGCCTGGTCAAAGAAATGTTGACCATGAAGTGACAACAGTTTTCTTATGCTCTAAAACAACAATTCTGCTACTGATTAAAAAGTGCATATAAAGTAATCTTTCTCCTACTTGAAGAAATAAAAAAAAAGTGGGAAAAGAAATTAGAATAACTATTTTGCCTTTAACATTATTTGCTTGTAAACTGCCAATCTATTTGCAAGGACTGCAGGGGTACAGAGTCAGAACTGCTGAAACCACAACAAAATGTGTAACTCAGACTGAAATAAAAGTAATTATATTATAAAATTTACAGTATAATTCCTTGCAGGTAAAAAGAAAAAGCAATGTAATGTCCTTCCTTATAACTTAGACAATGAGTACTATGCTCTTCTTATTACTGTTGTTCAATTCTTGCATTATTATTGACTAGAAAAATGTCCATCTTAATAAATCATAAACCAGTTTATTCACTTACATATTCTGTGAAAAATCATAAACGATGGGGTTTTTTTTAAACAAAGGAGTCAGTTTGTCAATTCTTTCCTTTGCAGCTCACCAGTTAACAAATATTATATTTAATATATATAAATGTATTAAAAAATCTTCTGGGATCTATTTTGCAGCCTATCTCTCCCAGACATCTCTGCAACAAGCCTCAACCAAAAAAAAAAACCAAAGAAGAAGAAGTATTGCATAAGAGACAGCCCACAGAGCCTTGCAGACTGTACCTGCGGGCTCTGAGAGAATGCCTGCTCTGATGGGTGACTACATGCATGATTCTGAGTACTTTTAAGTGCAGTTACATCAAAAATACTTGAAGAATGACCTTAAGGTTAAAGGAAAAAAAAACTATTACAGCACGAACTGTAGACTCTGAAGTATATGGAAAGGGTTTATATTCTGGATTTGTGCTCTTCTTAAAAACTGGTTTATTTCCCTGTATTTGGTCGTTTCCTCATAGTATACCTAACCTTTTTAATACATTTCTCCAGGCACAGAACATCTTACACTTTGACAGATTGTCTTTTACAACATGCATGAACTTAGGGAATGCCTCTAAGTCCTGCAGTAAAATAAGATTTACTTTACTCTTCTATAATTTTGAAGATAATATGCAGGGAATATAATGCACTGCACCCAATATGATTCCATAGTACTGCCTAGGTATAGAAAAGATACAGTGTGTTCTCTAACTGCTTAAAGTCTCATTGGTCCCATAAGGAAAGAACAAAGCATATCAAAAAAAGGTATCAAATACCCTTAGTTTTCACACTTCTGAAAGTAGTTTCACACTTCTGACAGTGTTTTCACATTTCAGTGTAAATGCATTTGCTAGCTTTAGGTACAATAATTTCACATAAAGATGTAGCTACATCTAATTCCGTTTTTTGGAAGACTATACTGTAAGAGAAACCATTAAGAGTTACTGTGATGGCAGTTCAAGATCTCAGTACTTAAATGAAGAACATTTCAGAAGACAGGTTTCATCCAAGCCTATGTAATGCTAATGTTTATGTTTAATGTTTGATGTTTAATTATTATGTTTAATGTAACATTTTAGTTTGACTTGAGTCCACTTTTCTTGTTTTTCCATTTGAATTTAAGATTCATATGGAAAATCTGTCACATCTACAGTATTTCATCAGAGTTAAAGACATGTGGATAAACTAGAATGGTCAACCACACTGGGCACTGTTTCTTTTGAAAGAATTTAAGCATTGTCAGGTTTGCATTACAAGATCATATGAAAACCACTCCTCCAAACTGTTTATCAAAATGTATTGTTTTCTTGGACAAAGAGTAAATAATAAGAGTCAACCGAAAAATTCACACTTGTTCTTTGCAAACTTGTCAGGTGCAGTTCTGCAGTCTTGTCTTTGGCAAAATAGCTATCAACTTCCCAAAAATAACATCAGAAAAGGATGGATTTGTGCCTCTTTTCCTCTATTAAAAAGATTTATTAATTATCTAGCACCTGTGGACACTTCCTACCCACCACTAGCAACAAGTAAGATACAGTAGAGTTCCACTGTGAAAACAGGAAACTGGAAAAGCTAGCCATTAAACAGTGGCTATAACGAATCATCCTTTTCTCTAATTTCTTGTTAGTCCCTGGGCTGCTTTCAGCTGAGGCAGAGGTAATTTTTTTCCTAGTGGTTAGTATGGGGCTGTGTTTTGGGTTTGTGCTGAACACAATGATGATAATGCAGAGATGTTTCTGTTACTGCTGAGCAGGGCTTGGAGATAACCAAGGCCTTTTCTGCTTTTCATACGGCTGTCCTGGGAAGAGGGCTGGGGGAGTGTGGGGAACTGGGAGGTGACACAGCTGGGAGAGCACATCAAAGGAATATTTTCTAGTAGACAAAAGTGAGAAGAAGGAGGAGAAAGGGAGGACATTTGGAGTGATGGTGTTTGCCCTCCCAAGTCACCAGAATGTGTGATGGGGCTCTGAAGGTGTGGAACACCTGCCTACCCCTGGGAAGCCAGGAATGAATTCCTTGGTTTGCTTTCCTTGTGTGCACAGCTTCTGCTCTTCCTATTAAACTGTCTTTATCTCACTGCACAGTTTTTCTAGCTTTTACTCTTTAAATTCTCTCCCCAGTCCACTGGTGGGGAAGTGAGCAAGGACTGTGAGGGGCTTGGTGGCTGGCTGGAGTAAAACCACCATATGGAATGAGGAAACATGAATCAGTGTTTATACGGGACGATATGAAAAGACAAATCATTTCAGATAAAAGAACAGCTGTATTGTAGGTTACTACATAGTAACAGAAGCATATTTAAATTTATTTAAACATCTTAAATTCTCTGTTACTTAAGCAGAACAGAAATACCATAAGTTGATTTGTTAGTAAGTGTTACTTTTCTGCATAATGATAAAAGAGAGAAAGAAATCATAATCGGAAATATTTATAATATGATCAAATTTTGGAGAAATCTACAACAATGAACTTAAGCGACAGACAACTGATCAACTGCCCCTATACAAAACTGAGTACTGTGATAATACAACTGTTATATCTCATAAGTAAAGAAACTGTTTTAAGTTATCTGTACTCACCATTTTTCATTTCTATAATTTTTAATTTCACCACAAACAGTACAGGAAGTATAAGAAATATTGTAAGAATTCTCTAAACAAAAATCTATATTATTCACATTGTGCTTAGTCATTGGTATTTTTTTCACAGACATCACACTGACATGCCAAACACTTTAAGAGAAGAAATAATTTCAATACAAGAAAATATGTTAAGCATTTTTACATACATTCTGAGGCAATTATTAACTGTAAGACATGTCTTATTATCTAACCCTCTTTAGTGCAATAAAATCAGTTTCACAATAAAGGAAAAGTTCATTTGAAGGTCATTTTTTTCTTTCATATGCTTGTGGCAATTGGCTAGAATTTCTTATTTCTGTATCAGTAGAAGTGAAATGATAGCTATTACAGAAGAAACAAACCACAAGTCAAAAATAATTAGTGGAAAAGCTGTCAAATATCAGACTTTACATAGGTTCACTGTGAAGTGCTGGAAGAAGTTTTATTCCACTGACAAAAATTCAAACACCTCTTCGTTAAAAAAACCCCAAGAAACAATCCCAAAACCCAAACTAAATCCAAATGAATATATATCTACCTAGAACTATCCTTCTTTCAACAATAAGTCTAAAGAAAATAATGAGAAATTCAACTAAGAACTTCTTTCATTTATGTTCAAAATAAAGTGACTTCTACTTATTTTTAATTATGTTATTAAAAGTACTGTCCTATTGTTACAAGAGTATTAGAACAAGTTGGTCCATTTAAACAGGGCAGATGAAATATAGGCAGAGTACCATGAATGTTTCCATGTACACTTACTGATATGATAAACTGCAGCACAAACATATTTACATGTGTGCACAAACACTCAACAGGCACATTCCAGCACTTAGGGTATGAAGACCTATTCAACAGGACAGGAACCTAATTTTTTATATACAGAATCCATAACTTACCTGTTATGCAGCTTATCATAGTTTTCCTTCAAGAGTTCATTCTCTTTTTCTAGATCATTTATTCTTTCCTGTAACTAAAATGAAGAAGAAAGTTTTATTTGATGCACAGCACAAAAGCAAATTACAATGAATGTGTGAAGACAAATAGTTAATTATTTGTAGGCATTGTCAAGCTATTATTTGTTCTTTTTATACAAAATCAGCATCACAGAATATTCTGCATTGGAAGGGATACAAGGATCACCAAGTCCAGCTTTAAGGTGAATTGTCCATTTGGGGATGAAAACCACAACCTTGGCAGTATTAGCACCCTGCTCTAACCAACAGAGCCAATCTCAGGGTATACATGCAAAAAAATATAAAAATCTAAAAGTCTAAGTGTATTACTGACATGATAAACAACACATCCTTGTTTTCAAAATATTCAGTAAAGCAAGACATAACTTTAAAGCTATGAGATAACAAGAAGATACCTTCAAGCATTACATTAGTTTAAAGGTTTGGAGGAAGTATCTGTGAGTTACTTCTTGGTGAACTTGGTTCATGCAAAATACATTTAAAATAGGTAAACCAGGTAGTGAAACTAAATTTACTACAAAATGTAGCCGAAAACCAAGTAAGATAGCAGACTCTTACTCCTCGTGCATTGAAGAGAATGAGAAACAAACCACTTGATTTTTAGCCCTAAGTGTGCATGACATTAGTCTGAGAGCCTCTAGACAAAGAAACAGAACTGATCTGAACTGCTAAATCAGATACAACACTATAGTGTACTGGAATTAAATCAGGTTGAAATAATATTAAAAAACTATTATCAATAAATTAAGTATAATTTTTTTTCAGTTAACAAACCACTTGTTCAGTATCAGAATTGACATGAAATCCTATGCTTTAACCTCAAATATTGTCCAAACACTGTGCAGAGACTATGCGGCACAGGGATCAAGTGTGGTTGATATTCTACCAAATGCAAGCAGCAGCCACTGGTTTTTTCTTTTTAATGGGATAAAAGTGTATATATCACTAGTATATATAACACCAGATCAGTCTTCTAAATGTGTTTGAAACATCTATTCACATTTTCACAATTAAAAGGTATCCCATCATTCACTCTTCCCTTATCTATGTGTTCAAGAGATCTTGAATCTGCTTGAAGAACACAGTCTCACCTCTTCTGTCCTTCTGTTTGAAATAGTTACTGTCTGCAATTCTTTTTGAAGATGAAAGCACTTTAGCCGCTCCTCTTTAAGCTGAACATTCAGTTCATCACCTTTTGCTAATAAAGCATCATGGCTGGTCTTCAAGTTCTTTAGGTTCTGTGAAAAGGAAGGAAGGCGTATCAGGATCAGATCTAGCAGAGTGTTCCCACACTACGTATTTCAACAAGGGGCTCTCAAGGCACTATTGAGTAGATGTTCTCAATGTGATCAGCAAGACACATTCTTGAACTAAGTAACTGAAAGTAACTTTCACTTCCCATGGCCAGCAGAAGGTGACCTGGTTGCCCTCATGAATATCAAGCCCTCAGTTTACTCACCATGAAAATGACAAAGAAATAAACCTGTAAAGCAATTAAAATATTTTGCAGTGGTTACAGCGGTTGGACATGCTAACCATAAACCACTGCAGCAGCAAGCAGAAAGCAGTGTCACCCACATCTATGTTAATCACAGAGCTTGCCACAGCTCTCTTAACCCTTCTATTTATATATACATATATACACACACACATATACATCTTTATACTTATAGATACACATATACACACAATTCTAGATATATGATTCTTTTGCAACCCTCATGCATTCAGCTCTATTTCCCAGCTAGAAGAACTTTAATAAGGGACTTCTGATTTCCATCATATTTTCATTTATTCTGATTAAAATTAAAATTAAAATTAAATGGAGGGTGCTGATAGAGCCTCTATTTCCAGAACATTAGTTAATATGCCTACAATCCTGTAATTAGGCCTCATTCATTAAAAATTCACATGTAAATCATATTCAAATTACGATTTGAGACAAAATAGTTGAAAGCCCAATCTCCTATTTCATAAAATGACTGGATGATAATTTGTGCCAAATACATACAAGAATATAGGTAATGTTTAATGCTTTTAGACAGAAAGAAGCTAGCTTCATTTTTTCCGTACAACATTCCTACAAAGTAGTTAAATGGAGAAGCTAAATGTTAATCCTGTAAAAATTGTTTACATTCACATGCAGTCTGAACAGACTGGAAATTAATAAAAAACCTATGAAAAATCAGTCACCAATTTGATCTTCAGCTTTTCGTATTCATTTCTCAGGAAGACAAAAATCACAGAGAATACACAATATTAGCAGTCAGTCTAACAAAAATAAATAGAGTTATTTTTATAGCTATTTTTATAACTAGTTATTTATAGTTATAAATAGAGAGAATTCAACTCTAAATTCTAGAGTTAAACTCTCTCTATTTTAAATTTCTTAAAGAGAAAGAAGACAAAAAGCCATGTTAAACCTTTTCTCAGTCTGGCAGAGAAGATACAGGAGTTACACTGAAGAGGGGGAAGGAGGCAAAGCAAAACAAAATGCAGAAACAGAAAAACATGGGCAAAAAAAGGAACCAAAGAAAAAACTAATGGCACAAGTGTTATTTAGCATGCTAACAATAAGCATACAGATGTTTAGAGTTTTTTAAGGATACTCAGTGCTTCCCCTTCTTAAAGCTGTATACATAATAAAGCTCTATTGCAGTTAGGATTCCTCCTTACAGGAAGTCTCCCATTTCCAAGGTATTATCATACCACCTTTGTATGCATATGCAGTTTTCCATATACATACAGGAAAAAGCAGAAAAAAAGCAGTATAATTAAAACCTATAGATAATCTACCACAGAACTGTATGTTCTGGAGATATTTTCATAAAATTGCTCTTTTTATAAGGAAAATGATTACTTAAAGTAACCCTCTAAAATAACTTCCACGAACATATCAGCAGAGGTTAAATCCTAACATCAGAACAGAAGAGCCAAACTGCCCAAACTTCAGCAAAGAGTAATAAAGTGGAGAGGGCTTGGTACTCTTTTTTGGTAAATCAGTACATCTAAGTCAAAGTCCTCCCTTTAAATGATCAGGGATCTCTTTCATAGCCAAACAACTCAGTTCGTTCTTCATAATCTGCTTGGTATGACTTTGCAGATGGAATTACCAAGACCTGCTAGACCCTGATGAAACAAAAGAGAGATTAAGGCTAAAAAATTCCTACGCCATCTGGAGTAGTTTGAGTGTAATGTAGGATATAGTTCATTTTAATGTACTCACTTAACTGACTTTGAATCAAGAACTGTGTATAATTTTTCTTCTTTTAGCATGCCTATGTGATAAGAGTATAGGAATGTTATTGATCAAACTGCAATTACCTCTTCAAGCTGGAGAAATTTTCCTTCCATTGCTGAAAGAGCATTGCTTTTCTCAGCCAGCTGTTTACGGACCTTGATCATTTCCACATTGTCCTGAATGTTTAGCCTTCAAAATTAAAAACAAATGCATCATAAACACATACTTTAAAGAAGATGTAGTGTATAATACCCAAATTAATTTGTTCTTCTATAATTCACACTAGAGAGTTTAGGTAAATAAAGATTTTACTGTTTGATGACCCAGCAACTTCAATCAATACATACACACCTTTGTTTATTGTATAAAATTGTATATGACAGAAAAAGAAAACAATCCTATGCCTAAAGAGATTGTTTTCGCTCTCTCCCACCATCCAAAATATTTGGTGCCACTAGAACACCATTTTGTGAAGTTTCCACCTATCAAATACTGCAAAGAAAATGACAGCTGGCAATTTAAACCCCATTATTTCTACAACTATGAGAGGAGAAACCAGTTGGGATTTTTATTAATATAAATTCTGAAAAAATCAGAATAGATTTTCAATATCTGAAAAGGCAATTTCTCTTCCAATATTTGTTTATTTTAGACATGCAGGACAAATTGTCACAATGCCATGCTGGAGCAAGTGAAGGGGCTACAATGCTTAGACATGTGGAAACCAGCTGAGTATGTGAAGAAAGGAATGTTGCTCTCTAATACTAAAACAGTGTTAGAGACTTTCATTTATCTCAACATTTTCTGCAACAGCAGAGCCAGTATTTTTCTACTATTTGCAGACTCCAAATTATTGAGTACTAGTGAACATCGAATTGTCCACTACGAACCTACACCTAAATTTTGGTAAGAATTAAAGTGAAGGAAAAACAGGTGATTAAAATTTTATGACCTGAACTTCAACTGAACCTGTATCTGCTGGAAAAGAATTTTCTAAAATGGCAATTATGAACTTTTTTGTTTATTTATTAAAAAACCATCATAATTTATTATTGTAACTATCTCCTTGCTTAGAATTATCCATGCTATTTGGCAAAACATTTTATGGCTTGGTTTCACCAACTGGACAAAAATTAATAAGGCCCATATTTCTTTACAGAAGTAGTAACTTCCACAGCTACCTACAAATATTATTATATAACTCTTCTAACGTTTCCACCACAGAGATTTTAATTTTTCACAATACCTTTGGCTTGCTGTACCCTGCTCTTTCAGCCGTAGGGTGGATTCTTCAATTTCCTTTTCTTTCCTTCTTAGCTGACTCCCAAGAATTTCTCTGGCACGGTCTAGTTCCTCAATTTGGTTCTTTTGGGACTCAATGACAGTCTCCCTGCAAATAAAAGCATCCTACATTCTAAAACCAGCTATATATTTTTTCAAAGGAAAAAAAAAAAAGAGTACTCAAGTAAGCCAAACTTTGAAGTGTTCAGCAAAATGTGTATTTCTTATTAACATACCTCACAAGAGAGGCTTATGAGTTTCAATTGCTACAAAACTGCAACACAAACTCTCAAAATAAATGTTTCTGTGGACTCAAGAAGGCTTAGCAGAACCTCACTAAAATGCTGTTCATGGTTTCTTATACTCTATAAGTATCCTACTTCTCATCCATTAGGGCCAATGGTTTCTCAAAAGCAAAAAACCATTACAAGCTATCACAAAATTAGATCTTCAATGGATGGAGCACTGGAAGTAATTTTTAAGCTTTTATTCTGAAATGGAAAAATCTAAATCCCCCCAAAAAACCCCAAAATAAAATAAAATCAAAATATGTGTTTTAACAGTGGAATTTATCCAATAAATGCATTAAAAAGTAATTTATAGAAATAGTTCCATACAATTGTTTCTTATGATTCCAGTTAATTGTTGAATTTATAAAATTCCAAGCAGAAAATAAATGATTGCACATTAATCCATGTATTTCTAAGCTTAGCTTGCCCATTAATTGGAAATGTAGCATTTACACAGAATGTAATTGATAATCTGATTTAAGTAAATTACTGTGAAAATAAACTAACAGCTTTTAGAAAACCCAGATTCTAAACACACAATTCGGAGAAGAAAAATATTCTAATCAGACCTCAATATCTTTAAATTAGATGCTAACTACCTTTTCTATACAACACCTCTCTATTTCTCATGCTATCTCTACATCAAGGATGTTGTAAAGGTTTCCAAAGCTTCAATTCAATTGAAACATGCAGTTGAGTTACAAACCACACTTCAAAATGCAAAAGTGAATCAGAATCATTTTACATAACTATCCAAATACTGTGCTTTTTGCACTTATCCATAAAATCTGTCTGACTCTAGGAATGAAACTTAAATGCACCAGGGAAACACATTCACATAGTTACCACTTCCATGCTGGTGCACATTTTAGGACTTATGCTGGTAAAAATTTTGCACCCAAGGCTCTTTCTTCTTTTGTCAGCTTTGACCCATAACAAACAAGGCAGGCATTGCATCCTAGCAAAGAAAGCCAGTTTTAACTTGTAGCCAAATTTTTATGTACCTACATTCTAAATACCCGATTTCCTGGTTTCCTTAACATTCTGCATTGTTCCTGTGTTATTATTGTCAGAACCAGCCATTTTGTTTTCTGAACTGAAAACTTCTTAAAAGATATACTTTTTTTTCTTCCAGAAAAGAATAAGTTCTAAGAACTATGAAAAAATAAAAGAAGTAATATGAAAATCATACAAATTTCTGATTTCAGCCCTTGAATCCTCGAGCAGACTCTGTCCGTATTTGGGGAGCACAAGGTGAGATGATCTCACTTCTAAACTTTGAAATCTCATTCCTGAATACAAAAACAAAGATAAATTTTTGACTTGTTGGATGAGAAACCTTTAACAAGCCAAACATCTTAACACAGTACAAATAATTGCAATTTCTATATAGATGTCATAAGAAGTATTTTTACATCAAAATCACATAGAAATAATCATAGTATGCACAACATAAGCTGCTGTAAAATCTGAAAGATAGGCCATGCTGAACAGCGTTAAAGCAAACTGTTAAAAACATGTCTTGAAAGATTTTTAGAAGATTTACTTTCAAAGAGAACAGAGATCGTGTCTTCAGAGAAAAGAAATAGCAGTATTATTAGACAGGAACATGGACTTCTAATCACTCCTTCTCAGCATTTTCTTTGGAAAATCCCAAGTGTCATTCACCCAGACATGCAATTGTTAGGACTGTATTTTAGTAGCAGTGCAGATAATTTTCCTGTATTGTTTAGAAGCATCCTAAGCCCATGGTGAAGAAAAGAAGTGAGAAATTAATTAAGGAAGAATTATTACTTTAGGAGCAAATGCAATGGTTTCTCCACATTTTTCTCCTACTCTTACCAAGAAGAAATTAACCAAGTTTTGAGGTGGGACCAAATACACTTCATTTCAAAGACAACATTAAGGCAGCCATCCTTCAGTCCTCAGAACTGCATCACTTAGGTTTAAGGTACAGTGATACCAGCAGTTTCCCAAAATGCCTGAAAAACTTACCTACTTTGCTCCATTAACTTGACCCGTTTAGAATTTTGATCTTTAAGTGTTATTTTAAGGTACTGGTAATTGCAATACAGATATATATGTGTGTGTGGGCGTGGGGGTGTGTGTATGTATATGCCTAGAATTTTTTTTGTTTACTTTTGTTCAACTCAAGGCATTTCTTACATGACTGCACTCAAAGAAAGCAAATATTTACAGAACATCCATACCTGATTAGCTTTCCATAGTATTTTTAAATCAGCCAAATAAGAAGCAGATACAGGAAGCTCTAATTATTATTTGTAGAGCTTTCTTATCTCTTAATACCTTAGAGATAGCTAAACTATCCTTATTTTTTCCAGGCATTTTATTTTTCAATAACTGCTGTGCATATTTTCTGATCTGCACCAAAAATGTTTTGAAACTCAGAATCACGGTTTCAAGTGCAATCAAAGAGTCTGCTGTTTTTACAAATGTGAATCATACCCTTCTTGGTGTGCTCTGGCATGCCAGCAGTCTCACTCTCTTTTTTGAGACCAGTGTTCACACGAGATTGAACGGAGCTATACAGACAAGGCCTATGGCCTTGAATCTGGAGCTGCTGTTTAGTTGAAATGAGTTTGTTGCGGAGGCTCTCATTTTGTTTCTCAAGCTCACAAACTTTTTCTCGCAAATGCTCAATCATTTCTTCCAGCTCCAGAGCGTAACCCAGCCGCTTGGGTCCACAGCCAGCCTGGTCACATTTTCTTTTATCATTAACAAGCCGTATTAACTTGGTGGTCATTCTGGGGAAAATAATTGAAAAAAAAGAAAAATACTGTGAAAAGTCAGCATGGAAACTATTCTGTTGAAAGAAACATAACCCCTGTGGAGACGTCAGCATAGAACCTTGATAATAGATTTCAAATTTTGATATAACTATTGCTGTGACAAACTCCTTGAAGATAACTGATACTACTGAGCAGCAATCTGCTTTATAGCACTGATGAATAACAGTTTCCTAAGGCTAATCATTTAAGGTTAGTAAAGGAAGGACACCTTTACATTGCATGTAATTTTATCTAAGTGGACTATGAGCACACCCACCTGGTGTAAGTGGATGATGAGTGGTATTTCCTGTGCACAGAAACATAGGAACTGCTATTTGAAATAACAAAACAATTAATTTAATCTACAATTAATTTTTTCTACAATCTTGTATTTGACAACAACCTGACAGAAAAGATGGAAATTATGTAACGCCGTCAACTGGACACTGGCTCACTGAATACTGAGTCAAAAGAAAATAATGTTTTGGACTTTAAAGGATGAAATAGGCACTATTTTCAATTACCCTTTGATGAATTCCTTAGCTCCTTGTGGAAATCCTTAAAATCAGAGGGTTTTGGGAAAGCTGCAAAAGGCAGGTCTCAAAGACAGCAGAACTGTGATTAGAGCTAAGCAGTAGCCATAAGAGTGGTCAGCAGAAAAATTATATGAGAAGCAGAAAAGTAAGGACAAATAGAACAATGGTCTGTGTATTAACACTTGTCTAGAATAACTCCCTAAGCTGCAGAAAAGTCTATCTAGCAAGATATTAGGAAGTTCTAAGGTTAATAATGGCGCTCAAGATGCATTCCTAGCAGTCCCGTCCTGCTTGCGATTTGTACACAGACTCCTGACCAGCGATAGCTCCTCACCAAAAAGTGGCTTAGATGCAGAAAGTCTTTGTTAACAATTAGCACAATGCAAACACAGAGTCAAAGTGTTAAGGCTTTCTGCAGTGTCATACTACTACAAACAGTTCTTCATAGTCCAGATCAGTTTGCTGCCACACTAAGTCCTGGCAAAGATTAGCACAGAAATCCTAGCATACTGAGTTTAATAATCAGCCTAAAGTTGCTTGTATGTTTGTGGGTAAACTGGGTACTGTGCTCCCCATGGTATTTGGGACTTCTTCACTGAAGTTATCTATTATGTTTAATATCCACACGTTTCATGGTGTCAGTGGTTGGAGACAGGGACAACCCACACCCTGACGTCCACATGGTGGCAAAAGAGCATGTTTACTCCTCAAGCCCCTCTTTATAAAAGGGTTTGAAAAACCCAGTCTGGATAGCTCACTGGTCTGACTCCCCAAGCTCCTGGACCAGTGAGATGTCTGCAGCTTAGGACGGAACATAATTGGCTGAGATTCCGTCAGTCAACTCAGGGGCCAGGTTTATGGAACTGGCAGGGTTTATTATCTATAGCTGAATTAACTGCACAGTACAAGCCAGCTTGTACTGTGACATAATGTGACAGTTATCTACTGAATAAAGGAGTGATGATTATAAAGACATTTTAGTGCTAATTCACCAATAAAATGCTAGATGCTATTCAACTTATTGAAAAACGGACTGGGACAAAGAAAGGGCAGAATCTCTCTGGATAGACCATTTTGATTCTAGAATGAAAAGCCTGAAGAACCATTAGGCTTCTGCAGCCTGCTCTCCAAGTCTCGGAACATTCCAGCAGCACAGCTGGGAATCCAAGGTATCATCTCTCATATAGCAGACAGGAGTGTACCCCTGTACAGAGAAATCTAACAGGGGTCCCTGCAAAAACCATCTCACATACTCAGAGACAACAGACTGTAGATATCATTACAAAAATCATGTCCAGTGGGTGGTTTTTGATATTGTATTAAAAAGTGCTCTCTGAGAGAAATCACCATGATTTTTAATTTGTTAATGATGCTTTAAAGGGACAAAAGGGTACTGTGAGTTAATAGAAAAATATTAAACCCATACCTTTTAATTTTCTCCTCCTGCTTATTGGCATACTGTTTGAGTAGGATGTGGTCATCACGTAGACGAAGAAATCTGTCTTCCAGCTCCTCTCGACTGATTCTTGATATGACTTGTTGAGCTTTTACATTCTGTGTAGATGATGATTCTACCCAAATCAAGGCAATTTTAAATTACCTTCAATACATTCAACAACATATAATTCAAAGTCTAACTCACTTTGAAATTCTGAAAAAAAAATTAATGAAAATTTTCAAGGAATATGATATTTGACACTTGTTTCAGTCTATTGATTAATTGCCTCAGACTTATTGGCAGGTTAATCACTTCCTTTTTCCTTTCTTTAAGAGGCTAAAAAACCATGTAGGTCAAATGATGCAGCAAACTGATTACTTACCAGGCAATGAAAAGATAACAATTTAGCAAGCAACTAGGAATGGTCAAACATAATTAAAAGATAGGATGAACATTACCATTGAGATGTTTTCTAATGTTTCAAAGTGAACATACTCTCTTGAAGCTTGAAAGATTTAAGTCACAGTTGTGAAAACAAACTCAAATACAAGACTAAGCCCAGCAGTTCCATCCTAATAGCAGCTGAGTAACATATAAGAATTGCATAGTACTTTTGGTTCCCATTTTCTTAAATGGATCTGTCCTTGTCCTCAGTTCAGCAAAAAAGCATTCTCTTTCCTTCTGGAAGGATGAATGTTATAGTTTGATGAGTTTTCCAGTTTTTAGCATCTCACAGCAACCTCTCTTTTACAACAACCTACTTGAACACAGAATGAGTCACTGTACCTTTCAAAACTTAACCCAGATTTTGATCTTCATTTTGTGAAACATTTTTGAAAGAAGCAAAGGAAGCCACTGACCAAAGTCTGCAATTGCAATAAATAGCATCTGGTACAAACCTTTTAATCCTTCAATTCCAGCTGGAGTAAGGACTGTGTCTCTCACAGCCAGGTTCCCCACAGTTTCATCAGCTGAAACAGGCATGGCTTACCTATGAAGAACAAAATTCGAATGCTACTCCATCTGTAATTTAACTGAATGAACTACAAAACATCATATAAAATTATGGCAAAAGTAATGACAGATTCACTGGAATGATGGACTTGTGTATTGCTGTAAATGCTCCTATCTCAACTGAATTCCTCAGAGGACAATCAAAACCTTCAAGTTTAACATTATGCCACTTTTAATCCATGCAAAAAAAATGGCTTATCTGGTTATGCAGTAGCTAGCTCCAATTCTATTTAATGCATGCAGAATGTATGAGCTTTTACAGTTCCAGTTCTAGATTGTATTCAGCAATCTTTGGGCTAAGGCCATATTTCCAAGTGGATGTGGGAGGAGGATCTGATGGGGTTTCTTCTGTGTCTTTGTTTCTGGGGGTTTTTTTTGGGTGTTTTATTTTATTTGTTTTATTTTGTTTTATTTTTTTGTTTGTTTTGGGGTTTTGTTTGTTTTTGTTTTGTGGGGGTTCTTTTTGTTTTTTCTTTTTTTAATTGTTTGTTAATTTTAAGTCATGTCAAAAGCTTAAGGCATCAACTGGTAGGTGAATGTCATCCTTCACATTCTGAATGGGACTGTAAAATGAGGTGCTGGGGATTATGGAGTCATTTCAGTATTACCTACCAATCTCTTAGTCTTCTTTCAATCGTTGTCCTAAGAGAAATTACTTTTAAAAACAGAGACATTCCTATGAATGATATTCATAAATCCAAACACATTTCTTTTTTAAGACAACAGAAAGATCAGCTACATGACAAAATGAGATTAGGAAAGTATTAATTAGAGTATTTATCACTGCAATATATGAAGATACTGCTGTTTCTTTCTTGTCTTCCAGTGCAGAAAATTAAATGTTGGCCAGAGAATTAAGGAATGCTGAAACAACATGAAAAGAGGCACATGAAGTTCTTAGGATGGCCTTTCCTGCCCACATTGTTACACCCTTCAGATGATATAAATCTTTAGTGAATCCAAAATTATCTAGGAATCCATTGGCATATTAACAGTGATGGTAAAAAGACTTGCATCAGAAGACAGAAGTGACATAGTGCAATCCACAGACATTCCATGAAATATCTCTTAATTTTTTCATCAAAACTACTGCCTAAGTGATGCCTTTCTTCTAACAGCAAAGCCATCTATCATAAACTAGTCTCCACATGGCTTTGTCCTAAAGGAACAAAAAGGATTAATGGAAGTTCTGTTTCCAACAAGTCAGTCTTGCTTTCGATCTTTTTCATCACGAAAATTTAGAATAAAATAACAATGAATACCTGGACAGATCCAGATGCTATGCTGAACCTTAAAAATTTCAATCAGATTTTATTTCCAAGAAAAGTAACCATACAGTCACTTCAGCACTTTTGTTAATCAAAAATAAGTGAAAAGAACTTCACATACAAAGAGAGAAAAATTTTCCATATCTCTAGAATTAGCCTATAAGAACTTCCAGTTAGATATAAAGAAGAATTTTATTGTTACTGGAGTTCAAGAAACTTAAACTTTCTAATATACTGCAGTACTTAATGTTTCTATCACCATCTGGCAAATTACAAAACACTGCATATGACTTTGCTGAGTTATGCAAGACCAGCTTGTAATGAGATGAATGCTTAAAACTAGAGAATCAAACCTCATGCTTTCCGTCCAAATTTTTATATAGCTCACAAAAGCAAACTGTTGCACCAGCATCGCTCCAAAGTAGCAAAATTAAAGATGGATTACCTAAATTTTTAAAAGTGTTCAGCCAGTGGGGGTAGGAAGCACTTCTAGGGAAGGGGGTTCTAGGGAAATCTTAAAAATTATGACATTTAATTGTTTCAATATGGATTTAGAATTTCATGAGTCTTGCACATGGCCAAAATGATGCTTTTCTTGCTATTTTCCCATACTCGGGCAAGGTAACACAACTCCTACTTAAACCTAGCGGCCAACTCCCGCTTTTTATATAAAAAATAGACAATGCAACCGAAAAGGCCTCTCGGGCCGTTCTGAGTAAAGCGGTGAGGCACTGCCTTTCCTACGGGCATCGAGCTGCGCGCCATCGGCCTCACGGGCCTAACATCATCGCTTCACGAGCTCCGCCACAGGCCTGCTCCCGTCTGGGGACAGCCCGCTGCAGGGAGCGGTGCCACATCCCCCTGAGCGGCTGCGGCCACTCCGCGCTCCCCCGCCGTGCCCGGAGGACTCGCAGCCGCTCCCACTCACCGCCCGCCGGCCGGCGCGACCCCCAGCCCGCCGCCGCCGCGGCCCGCGACCAACGGCTCCGGCCGCGCCCCGCTGCCTGCTGGGAGTTGGAGTTCGGGGCGCGGCCGAGCGCCGCCGGCCCGCGCTCGGGACGCGCGCTCGGGACGCGCGCTCGGAACGCGCTCTCGGCCGCTGCCCGCGCAGCGCTCGGGAGTGGAGGAGGGGAGCTGCAGCGAGAACTGAAGGTAGTGCTTCAAATGTGCAGTATGTAAACGTTTTATTGAATGGTGCTCTTGATGGCTGTTGTACCTCTGCTGGGTTTGTTTACGAAATAGCAGCAGAAAAGCAGTAAGTGATTCCTTTGAAAGTAACTTTAGTGACATTAATGAAGGAAAGGCTAATTCTATAAAAAGATTAGAAAAAAACTTTATAAGATTGCAATCAGATACACCTTTGCAGGGTGTACTGGGTGTGGTATTGCTATTAATTTGCTATTCAACATTAAAAGTATTTCACTATGGGCCAGGTGTTGGGAGGAAAAGGTTAAAACCTGATTGATGATGACAACGTTATTTCTAGAATTGTTTTCTCTTAAAGACCAGCCTTGTCCCTGAGAGATCCTAAAATTATTCAGTGTGTAAATTTTAGGTATTTGTGTTTGCTTTAAGTTGTTTTCTCTCAGCTGAGAGAAATGGAATTCACTCAAAGAAGATAACAGGATGTTAAAGACTTAAGTGCATTTTCCTCATATGCTTAAGCCTACTTGTGGTGGAGGGGGAGGTGGGGCAAGAGGGATAAAGAAGCTTAGGGATTGTAAAAACATAGCCCTGTGGAGCGATGTGCCTGTGCCAGGCCTGGAGCAGTGTACAGGCCTGTTGCACGCACTTTCTGCCCTTGCTAAGATAGAATAAGCTTAGCAGTGTCAGTGTCCACTGTTTTGCCAGCGTGGTGGTGGAATAAATCTATTCTTTATACTTCAGATGTGGATTTTGGCCATCTTGGTTACCTGCATATGTTTTGGTTCCCACATCAGGAGAAAGATCTGATCTAAGTCTGCAACTAAGGATTTTAATAGAAAAATAACTTTAGAGCCTGTTGGTAGTAGTAAGATTCTTAACTCTTTAAGGAAAACGTGGTTATTTTCTAATTGGTCTTGTTTTGGTATAGTTGTATGCAGTTAAATGCTGTCTATCAAAATCTCAGAGACTGGCTTTTGATTTGTAGTTATGCAGTATGTTTCTTATATGTACTAAGCTGGTCTCACTCTCTCAAATTTTCATGTGTATAGCAGGTTTTCATTTATGCTGTAATAGAAGAACAATTCTCTTCCAAGTACACATAATAGAAGTTCTTTAGAGTGCAGGGCTATGTGATGGTTTTAATTTTAAATTGGGGAGAAATATTAATCTTGTGTAGTGGTTTTGGTTTGTTAATTTGAAATTTTGTTAATTTTGAGATTTTTTTAGGTAATATATTGTTATCTATACGTATTATAATATTGAATTCACAAATATTAAATATTACGTTGGAAAGTTAGGCTGTACTAATCTCTTTTAAGTAGTGCTGTATTAATCTCTTTTAAGTTGTGTGGTAAATACAGTTTTTAGGCTATAGCATAATATTAAAATAGAAACTATGTGATTTAAGATACTTTTTTGTAACTAGCTTAAGGAAGGGAAAAGACAATCAAGAAATTATTCTCATTATTCTATCTGGATAGAGATAACAGCAAACAGACACCAAGATCCTAAGAAAAAAATTATTGCTTCCCTATCAGGGACTCAGACTTTGAGGAACCAAGAAGACTGAGTTACCAGATATGGGGGGGGGGGAAGCCCTAGTGTGAAAGGAATGTTTGAATCATGTATGAGATCTATGAATATGCAATAGGCTATTGCTTCTAAGGGGTAATCCTTTGTTAGCAAGGTGTGCTTTGTGGCAGAGTGCCAGGCACCTGGATGTCTGTAATTATTTGCTTTTTATTGTTTCTTACTATCCTGATTTTTATTACTGTTTTCATTATTATTAAACTTCTGAGATTTTAACAAAAGTGAATGGCGTTTTTCGCATGCATTAAAGAGTGTGGTGGGCTTGGTGTTGGTTAATTACTAATATATTCATTTTTTTGTTGTGAAATAGGATTAGGAGAAAGGTAAAGTAGGTTTAAAATTTTAAAAGGGTATAAAGAAAAATTTATTAATAGTAATTTAAAGAAAGAGTAATTAGAATTAAATTTTTAGAATGCTTTTCTTATTTTTGTAACTTTTTTATTGATAATGTAGAGAAATAAAATTTAAAATTTTAGTTAATTATTTTTAGAATAGTTTTTTTTGTTTACTTAGGGAGAGAAGACTCTTTTGTTAATATTATGGAGACCTCTATAAGAAAAAAACAGGGGTTTTGTGTTTTTTTTATGAATAGTAGCCACCTGAGGAAATTTGTAATTGCGAAGTTGTTTTTGTTTTTATTTTTTATAAGTTTTTTTAATAGCTGTGTTTATGGGTTATGTTAACTTCTGGGGTATTGTTTTAAAGATGAGTTGTTTAAAGGTAAAAGTTTATATTGAAATAAATGGGCAGGCGATCTTTATCCTTTTAAATGCCCTTATTAAAACGATTCAGCTCCGGTGGGGAGAAACCGACGGGTCGCGCCCTCGCCGCCGCTGCTCCCAGGAGTGGCACGGAGGAGGAGGGTGGTGATACAGCTTTGTCCGCTGGTCTGCAGGCAGAGCTGGGGATTCCTCACGAGAGATTAGGAGATTTTGCCTTTTTGGTCCAACACCTCGGGCCCTCTCTCTAGTCAACATCCTTTGAGGTTAGGGTGAGAAGCAAAAAGAATCCAAGCGGGCCCTGGACTACGCTCCCATCCTTAGACATCACCTAGGCACCCCTAGTTCTATGTTGGCTCATTGATTTTAGGGGTTTTCCTGGAAAACTGCAAAATTTGGTGCAATGCATTTCTCATCTGCATACTAGCTCTGATGCCACTCCCATTCTCCTGGTACCTACAGGGTCCTGGTGTCATTCCCTGGCAAGCATCAGGGTGACAATGGTTAATCACCAACCATTAACAGGTAATTGAAGAAGAACTTTTAACAATGAAGCTAACAGCAACAGGTCCAACTTGTTTTAACTCTGCAACCTTAAAAAAAAAAGATAACTTTTTTTTGTTTAATTTTTATAGGATTATACTTATTTTAATACTTGTTTATTTTTTGTATGGAGGATTTAGTTTGATATTAAATAGAATTTTTCTTTAAATGGTTTTTGTGTTATGGGGAATAAGAGGGTTTTTTTTAATAGTTGTTATAAGAGGATTTTAGTTTCAAGATTAAGGTGTCTTTTTATTTTTTTTTTAATTGGGATTTGATTTTTTTGTTGACTTTGATATTTTTATGGGGGTTTTTTTAGGTCTTTGTATTTTGGATTTTTTTATAATTTAAGGGAAGATTGAAGTATTGAAAGAGTTAACGTCTCACCTGGGGTAGTTACTCGGTGCTTGCTGTGGGAACTGTGGCTGGGGTTGTGTAAGGATTGGTTGTATGGTTAGTTTTTGGATTTTTTTTTTAAATTTAATTTTAGTTGCAGCTGAAATGAATAGGGCAGGAGATCTTTCTCCTTTTTAATGCCTTTATTAAAAAATAATCAGCTCAAGTGGGGAGAAACCGACGGGGCACACTCACGCCACCGCTGCTCCCAGGAGTGTCACGGAAGAGGAGGATGAAATAAATGGGCAGGAGATCTTTCTCCTTTTTAATGCCTTTATTATGGTTACTCTGTGTGGTCTGCAGGGCCGCTTCTGGTTTTAGTTGTCTGATTTTGTGTGGTGGCCATGCTGGCAGGAGGAGACCTGGTGGTAAGATGTTAGCAGCCGCCACCCAACTTTGCTTTGGCCAGGCCCACCGCAGCTTCCCTCTTTTTGGCTTGGTAGTTGTTGAGTCTGGCTCGGCGAAGACAGGGTCCGACGGGCTCCCTGGAGAGGGGCTCGGCTCTGCGGCAGAGCCTGCCTGGCCCAGCCCAGCTGAGATAGGGGCTGGGCCAGCCTTGTTATTTGCTTTTGGGTTGAAAGGAGAAGAGCAAGTTCCCAGGGTTTTATTGTCTTTAACACGTATTTTTCACAGAGGCGTGTCCAGTATTCTAATGCTGGAAGCTTTCCATTACATCCCTAAATGTCTCTTACGTAAAACCTTGGCAGGCTGTCATACAGCAGTTTCCACTTGCAAGTCACTCAACTGTAAGTAAGATTGAGTGTGTAGCAGAAAATAAATAGTTTATGCTAGCATTTAATGTTCCAAGCCCAAGAGGAGGATGATAATGATGTAAGAATTCATTCTTGGGAAGAGGATCTGAAAAAAGTTTGGAAGCCATAATGTTGGAAGTTATACAACTTTTTTTTTTTTTTTTTTTTTTTTTCTTTTTTTTTTTTTTTTTCCACACAGGAATTTGTTCACCTTTGTCCAGGGGGAGTGGAACTTCAACATTTCTCTTCAAAATACTCTGTTCAAGACTGTTCACGAGGTGAGGCCTGATGAGCTTAACATGAACAGATTGGGAGTAGCCAGAAGATACACAGGAGCTAACTGAAAAATACCCCCTGGTGCAGTTGGATATACTTGGTCTGGGAAAAGACGGATAAAAGAACCAAAGAATAAGGAACAAGTTGACAACAAAGGCAAAGGTATCAATAACCAATAGGAGATCAAATACTAAGAACTGTGTAATTTAAGACCAATGAACAAGAATTTCTTTGCATTTTGTATGTATGAATATGTGAAAAGTCTGGTAAAGAACCACATGTGATGGAATGATTTTCACTGCACAGCCCATGCATGTGTGGATGATATAACTTCTGTTGCACATCCTGGCCAAAATAAAGTAATGCATAATTCTCCAACATTGAAAAGATGTTGTTGGAGAGTTTCTGTTATTCCCATAGTTTCAGTGACAATAGAGCACTGCCTTCACAGAGGAAGTCTGTGAAGTTCCACCTGGCAACAGGGAGCTGCAGTGTGTGGGTGGGGAACAAATCCCTGCCGGCCTCCCACCCCAGCGGGTCCCTCCAGGGAGCAGCCGTGCCCCTGGCTGTGACTGTCACCTGCACACCTAAGGACTCAGAGTGGGTGTTATGCACCTCGGTTGTAGCAGGGACCGGGCCATGCATGGCCACAGAAGGGACCATGGCACTGTCTGCATGCTGTCCCTGCTGCTTCTCCTCCAGCCACTGGGGGGGTCAGCAGCTCCGCTGGGACACTGTGGGGGTCTTGTGGAAGCCAGGGGCCATTGTGACACAGTGGGGATGCAGGGAACCCACATTCCACTGTGACCCCATGCCCCCCAGGAGACTCTTTGTGACACTGTGAAACTTCACAGAACCACTGTGACACCATGGAACCTCAGGGAACCCTGGAGACAGTGAGAATGCTACAGAACCTCCTGGAGCCCTGGGGCCCACTGTGATACCATGAAACCTTTGGTGGAACCAAGGGGCCATAGTGACACTGTGGGGCCTTTTGCTACCAAGGAGACCCTGGTGGGAGCCCACGTGATCATTAATCCTGGCAGGAACTTGCTCCCTGTGAGCTCCTCTCTCCAGGCTTCCACATGTCCTGCCAGGATCCTGCTCCAGCACTGGCTTGCCACAGGCGCATGGCTTCCTTTGGGAATAATGTTTCTGCTCCAGGATGGCATTCTGTAGAGGATGCAGATGGATTTTGTGCTCCCTCATGGCATGTAGGTGGACAATAAAGCCTGAGCCAGTGCCTCACCACCCCAGCCCTTGTCTGGCTGTGTTATCAGGGTGGTGGAAATCTGGCACAACAAGGTCGGGGGAGGCAAGAAAAGGCAAATTAAATGAGAGGCTGGCCTCTCATAAGGCCTCTCATAAGATAAGGGCAGGCCAGGAGAAAAACTGTTCACCTGGACCATCATACTGCTGCAGCCATCATGTCAATCATTGCCAGGCCTCTGACAGGTGCTGGCTAAGGAGAAAACTACTTCCATGGCATGAAAGCTTTCCTTAAGAGTCAAAATCAAGCGGAGAAAAGCTGTGCAACCTGGTGCTTTTTCTTCCCAAAGAACACAAACATATTTTATAATTTTACATATTTTAAAAGACTATGTATAGGCCTTATGCTTCTTTTCTGCACTTCTTGTTTCAGCGTCCTCCAACAAAAAAGAAAGGGGACCAAGAATTTAAGGAAAATCCCTCATGCGTTTTGCACTTAAAATATGTAAAAATAACTTTGCAATGCAAGATGCCTTGCTCTAAATATTACTCATTTTATTAAAAGAGAAATAAATAGAGAGTCTCAAGGTAGGTTAAAAATATAGAGACAAAATAAAACTAAAAATTAAAAAGTCATTAAAAATCATACAAAATGAGATAAAACCAAATTATGACATAACACTTAAGAATTTATTATTATGAAATGCAACACAGAGAATTAGCTTGTCAATGAGTTATCCTGTATCCAAAATAAGGAATGATAAGAAAATGTAGTGCACATGAAAATATACATGCATAATGAAATGTAATTAAATGTGTATAGGAATGTGCCCCATGTTGACGGAGTGACAAAACTATCCTTTGTCTCCTTAAAAAGGGAAAAAGCCCAGAAGCTTCTTTCCTCAATTAGGTAAGAAGACACCAGATAGGACCTTGGGGACTTCACCTCAAACTTAAGTATAGCCAATTGGATAGGAGCCAAAAAGTCCTGCCTAAGCAATTGACTAGAAAAAGAAGAGACCAAAGAAACTAATTGCTTTTGTGACGTGTTTTACCAGGAGTAAGAACCTCTTGCACCTGACTCAGTTTTTCTCTGTAAAGGATTTTGTTACTTTGCCTATTATTAAAACTTCTCTGTTTCCAACACTACCACAGAAGCCATCCTGCTGATTTTACGCTTTCTAAGGTAACTGAGCTATCTTGGTTGTGATATAGATCTCCAAGAGCTTATGAGACCTGGCTCAAGGAGACCATATATCACGTGGCGCCTGGACAGGTGATTTCTCATATTGAGAGACACAGTCTGGGAAATTTTTGATTGGCCCTCAATCAAAATAGGGTATTTTCTCCTTGGTCTTGCGTTTTTGGGGAGCAGGCCTGTGACTGGTTTTTGTGGGCCAAAAGAAAACCCAGATAAAGGAGGATCTGAGACTGTGAGAGGGGGTCCCAGATCAAAACCTCACAGACAGTGGAACAAAGCTGGAACTGGGATGGAGCTGGAGAACATGCTGCGAAGCCTAAAGGACCACTTCAGAAAGCTGCAATTTGGCTGAGCCAAGGCTGAAACACCACTGCGTTTCCAGACCCGGGGAGACAGACCAAGGAGGACAGCTTGTCTGTAAACCTTTGTTGGTGAGTAAGAATGGGAGACAAGTTGTCTTTAGCTGAGCAGGATCTTTATTTTTATTTGAACTACAAGTTAGAAATTCAAGATGTAAAGTTTGAGAAGAAACAGCTTAAAAAACTCATCAGATGGGTTTTCACAGCAGGCCTTACTTGGCAGGGCAAAGGCAAATGGCTCAGTGAAATCCTTGAGATGAAGGGACACATCAGGTACTGAAAGGACTGCTCAATAAACAAGAAATGGGGGATGATAGACTGAGCCCACAGAATAGAGTGCTGAAAGCAGTTCATGTCATTAATAATCTACGGTTAGTAGGTAATTGTAGTGAACTAATCAATCCATGCCACCTGAAAACATCCATTGCCCTCAGAACTGTGGATACTTTTGCTGTCCTTGGATGAGATTAGAATATGTGGAACATGGATCAGATAGCTGTGAGTTTAGAGGAGGTAGTTTCCCAAGGTGTGGAGAGTACAGACATCGCACACCCACAAGTTCAGTACCTGGGTGGTATTCCCAAGTAAGATGAATAACAGTTAATTCCCCATAAACCTCAAGAAGTGCTGGGCTTGTTTCCTTTTTGTGCAGCCTGGTGGGTGTGGGTTGTGTCCCTGTCTTGCCAGCCAGGAGTCTATGCACAAATCATGAAGAGGATGGGACTGCTCTGGAACGCATCTCAAGCTGTTATATTTTCCAGCATCAGTCTCATTACATGGTTATGACAATGGGAAGATGCCAGCAGCTCACATCTCTGGCAGCAAAGAATATTACAACTTACTTCAAAACTTTTTTGACCAATCACACAAAGCAAAAGCATATTGACAGTAGTTCTATCCAACCACTATAAGCACATCTACCTTTTGCTAAAAAAAGCTTGCTTATTTTGAATACAATACTTGCTTGTAAGCCTTAAAACACAATGCACAGAGCTCTATTATTAAGCTTAGAACTTCCTAATATCTTGCTAGATATACTTTTCTGTAGCTTAGGGAGTTATTAGGCAAGTGTTAATACACAGACCATTGTTCTATTTGTCCTTACTTTTCTGCTTCTCATATAATTTTTCTGCTGACCAATCTTATGGCTACTGCTTAGCTCTAATCACAGTTCTGCTGTCTTTGAGGCCTGCCTTTTGCAGCTTTCCCAAAACCCTCTGATTTTAAGGATTCCCACAGCCCTGCAGGCTGTGTGGGAGGCAGGGTTGCTTGGGCTTTTCGGTGTTTTCTAGGGTTCCTTATTCTGGACGGTGGATGAACTCTCGCCTCTTTCTTCATGGAGTGTTGTTGTCTATCCTTCTTGTGGGGCGCTGTGTTTCTTCTCAGCTTTGGATTGGGTTTGTCTCTTTTTGCTTCCATCTTGTTTTTCAGACTCCAGCTCATTTGGTGCAGGAGCTTGTGGTTTTGCCTCCTTGCTGGGGCTGGTCTTTTTGTGCTGGTCAGCTTTAGGGGTTAAAGTGCTGGGTGCTTCTCTAAATTAATCTGCCAGGATGACATTGACAGAATATGTAGCTTACTTGGGCCAATGCTACTGGAGTGGATTCCTTTTGTTTATCCTTAGCCATGTCTGGAGATCCCTTTTGCACATGTCTAATTTGTATCCCAGAAAGTAATTTTACTGGTTTGGCAAAATGGGTAGGAGCTAGAGGAAAGTCATATGTGGAAGCAAATAGATCAAGTGCAGAGAATCGTTGGTGTAACATGATCAATGTACAAAACAGGACATGTGCAAAAGGTTGGGCATTAAGCCAAACAGCGAGGGCTTCCAAGTGTTCTGAATAGAAAATTGTAATTTTTTTAAGTTTCAGAGTTAAAAAAACCAAGCCAGACCGAGAAGGGCGCAACCCGTCGATTTCTCCCCACCTGAGCTGATTCTTCTTAATAAAGGCATTAAAAAGGAGAAAGATCTCCTGCCCATTTATTTCACCAAGCAGGTATGACAACTCAGTTACTGAATGAAAGTGGACTAGAGCCTCAAGAACTAGACTTACTAGTATTGGTACCTGGAAATTATTACTTGTTTTTTAACTACTTTTTAAACCCAAAGTCAATTAATATGCGTTATGATCTAGTCCCACATCCCAAAAATAATAGTGTCATTCTTAATCAAAATTCTCCATGGTAAAATAATGTGACTGAATACTGCCACAATTGGATTTATCTTGGCAGTGTTGGTGCAAATGCGACTGAAAAAAGCTTCCACCAGGTGTCTTTTTAATCTGTGAGGAATTTGAAGGAATGTGTTGTATGAACCTCTCTGACCGTTCTGCATCCATTCACAGGAAACTCAAACAACTATAAGATAACATGAAGAAATTGACTGCGAGTGAATCTATAAAAGTGTGTGTAATGTAAACAATAAACGGCTTCTGCTTTATCATATTGGTCAGTTGTGTAGGAGTCCTGGTTTTCCCACAATACTCATGGTGGGTCTGTGCTGCCCAAAGTACAAAGGATGTACCTGGAGTACTTGTTTGTTCATCTGTTGAGCTTGGAAGAGACACACTGGACATGAAATTCCAGGGAAGCTGCACTTGTTGTAGCAGCTGGAGCAAGCA